GCCTTCTTTCCATTGCATTCACAAGCTCTCTAAAGGACACAATATGATATTTTTTTTTTCGTCGGGTGAGAGATAATTTACCTTTCTTCCTCTGAAAAAATTGGCACTCATCCTTTTCACATGTGATGAAATATAAGCTCCCTCTTCTTTGATCTTTGGTTGTGCTACAGCTTTTTAAAATAGCACTCATCACAATTTGTAATTAAATATTCATGAGATTATATGATTAACAATACTTTCTCCTACGTTGTGTGAGAAGCATGTGAGCTGTGGGGTCAGAGATTGTACCTTTTGTCAACTATGTGAAGCTTAGAAAGTTTGTTAATGCCCTATTTTAGCTTTTTCTTTCTTATTCAGAATTTAAGATAACATAATCCTTTTCCTGGATATAATAGGAATGATAATTATTTTTGATGGATTACGAGGACTGAAAAATATATATAAGATGACCAACCCCTAATTATTACTCTGACAGCCTGTGGCAATATGCTTTTGTATTTTAGCCAAGTATTTTCTCTCCCAGTTGCTTTATAATTTATACAGCCTCTTTCTCTATGTTTTATTTTGGATAAGATAAATATCTTAAGTGTTCTCGAGTTCTCTTAATACATGTGAGAAAGAGTGAAATTGGTGATTGCTTTCCTTAGGCTGATATGAAGAGGAACCCTGGGCTGAGTCCATCTAAACAGCACACTTCCCATGTTTCTGGAGGCTGGAGGCCTGAGGGCAGCATTGAGCTCATTGGGGCTCTGATGGTGGTCTCTTCCAGGTGGCAGACTGCTTTCTCTTCGTATCCTCACCAGCAGGAAAGGGCAGGAGAACTGTTCTTGGGGTTCCTTTTGTAAGGTCCTGAGGGGCCACCCTTGTGACTTAAGCACCTCCTAGAGGCCAAGCCCCTCAACCATCACGCTGGGGTTTAGGATTTCAATATGAATTTGGGGGAGACACAAACATCTGTTCCACTGCAGTGATGCATCTATTCTAAAGGTGATAAAAACTAGCGCCCGGGGTGTGACTACTCATAACCTAGAGCAAGATGAGTACAGGTCAAAGCAAAGGGGAAATACCACACAGTCCCACTTCCTAACCAGTCCTCAGTATGCTGGTTCAGCTCAATGATGACACCATCATCTGCTGTCTTGGGCCCACAGCTAGGTGCCCAGGCTCAGCCTGGTAATAGGAGGGTGTGTGTTGGTGGCCTAATTGTGATGGGCCTTATCCCCAGATTTCTTGTATGGCTCCCCAGTGCAGAGGCTACAATTAGACACCACTGTTTGAATGAGAACCAAGCAATGTAAACATTTAGGAATTACCTCAAGCCCCAGAGCACTTGTGCTAGGTACGGCAGTATGACCGAGTTTTTTATGATACCTTGTTTGTGAATGGTCAGTGGTTCACAGCAGGTTTATTTAAACACATATTGGGTTTCAAAATTTTTTAATGTGTACAGTATGATATTTTGATATACATATAGATTTTGAAAAGGTTATTATAATCTTAGAAATTAATACCCATATAATTGAGCAAAGTAAATTACTCAGAATTTCACATTCATATCAGTTAAATGTAAGAAAAATTTCAGATGCATGAATTTAATTAATTTTTAAAGGTGAATTATGGAATGATTGGTGAACAACAGATTTGCAGATGGGTGATATTCTGTAAGCAAGTAGTGAGGACTACTAATGAGACAGTTTGGGGAAAATTTTATCAGTGCTTTTGTTTTTTCTCTTCAAATTATTTTGCCTTTAGAATAAAGAGGCTTTTTTATTTTTTATTTATAACCTACATAGTATTAAGTGTGAAATAAAAACAGCTATTTATAGGGAACATTTTTGAAATGCATTTTTTTGTGAATTGAAAGAAAAAGTGAAGACTAAAGAAGAAAAATGGGCAGGAGCAGCTATTGTGTGAGAGTACAAAAAGTCCTTATTCAGCCTCGGGCTAGAATAAATTCTTAGCATGAGGGTAGTCCTTGGTTTCATATCTACTCAGTTCTGTTCGCTTCCTGCTCAGTCCATATTCAGCTTTGAAATTTGTTTGCTCTTATCACGTGTACTAATTATTTTGCCAAAAGGCTCTCAGCATTTTTTTAAAATGTAAAATGGTGCATACAAGCTTGGGGAAATGAAATCCCAAAAAGCCTTTTTGGTTGCCCATTAGGGTGCTCATTCATTAAGTTGTCTCTTTACTTATTTTTGTGAACAACTCCTTCCTCTCCATTTAATAAACTTTGTGAATGGTTCAGTGCATTCAAAGACTCAGAGCACTCTTTTAGAAGCTATGACTTAGGCAATGGGCAATTAAAATACTGTTTTGCAAAGAGCCTGATTCCACTGCACGAGGCATGCAAGCCTTTATTGAGGGGAAATTCACATTTTTGAGAATTTTTATACTAGTCAGCAGTTTGTTTCAAGTTTTATCGTATTTTCAAGAAAATAGCTACATAATACTAAAATTAAAATTTAGGTGAAAAATAAAAATATAATCACTACATTATGTTCATTATGTCCAGCATTGAAATATTTTAGAAAAGCCTAGAAGATTAAGTTTCCATATAGAATTTAGTAACACTTAGATGCAAGGAACAATCTCTAGTGGGGATTTTTTTTTTAAATTGACAGAGTTGGGTTACCAAGAGATATCTAAATATTATCAAACTAATTTTGTGGTACAATACTAATAAGGCAACTCGCACATTTAAAATATGTCAATATAAATTAAATGAAAGAATAATATTAAGATTTAATATGAAACAAATGTTCTAAAGGTAATGATCAACACAACTTTGAAACATACTGAACAACGAAATGTGCTCAAGGGTATGAGTTTTACCATACCATGCACCTTCAGTGCACGTTTCATATAGTTTCTGAAATTTTAGCCTCAAATTGAAACTCTATTAGTGATAGAAAAGTTGCAAATGATCAGGTACAGTTACAGATGTTTTATTTCTTAATTTAAAAGCATATTAAATGTATTTCTAAAGGAAGCATTATTATGAACCACAAGTCGTCTTCTGCCAGAAAGGGTTCCCATTCTAGACCTGTGGACTGTTGTGGTTTCTCAAACCTATCCCACTGTCTTGATCCCCTGCCATCCATCTCTCATATGTTCTCCTCTGAGATAGAGGAATCGGGGTTTCCATGTAGTTGTCACAGCACATGGTTAGTTTGTCCCACTTCTGAGAAAAAAGTCTCAAAACTCAGAGGAAGGCGACAGGTGAGGGTGTGTGAGACATGAAGAGGGGGAGGCCTTATTTCATCACAGAGGGCCTAGTAAAATGAACAAAAGCTTGTCTTGTACCATGAGGGGGCTACTTACTAGATTTGCATCTCATTTCCAAGACAAAGTTTACTTTCTCCACCCATCCACACTTGGCTCTCCGAGATTCATGGCACCAGAGGAACTAATAGTGCCAGTAATCTGGTACAGTGGAAGTGCTGAGACATTTCAAGTAATTTTTCGTAAGAGACTGTGGTCTGGGGGGTGGAATATACAAGCAAATTAATGGTAAAGGCGAGGACTGATGTTGCAAGGTCCATTTGCTGTGCAAACAGTCTAGTGGGGAACAAAGTCCACAACTTGTACCTCCTCCCCTGTTAGAATCAGAACCTGCAAGGGACACACTGACATTTTGAGGTTTTCTCCTGCTCTGCACTGCTGAATTCCTCAAGCAGTCATCTGAAGACCTCCAGAGTAGATTAAGTGGTTGTTTATTATGCCACTGTGTGATTTTAGGAAGTTAGAAGAGAGTCCTGTGGACATTGCCCTTCCCAGTATTGCCACATTAGCTTTTGAAGATGGCTGCAGTTTCACAGATAATGCTTCATTGTTTTTCCTCAAGCCAAGGACTTAGTTTTAGATTTAGTTTGTGGGGAAGGTAGTTCATTAACCTGTGGTCTATTACACTTTAGTAAGAATAAATTTAACAGTACTTTACATAAAAAATAATAGGTGTAAAATCATTTCCTAACTCACAAATTATCAGGTATTAAATTATTTGCACACAATTTGAAAAATCCTTTTTTACTGTCATAGTGAATATTTATTGATTGCCTATAACATGCTAGTCATTGTTCTAAGATTTCATGACAACAAACATGTATGAGATAAGTATGATTCCTATCCTCATTTTACAGATGAGACACAAAGAGTTTAAGTAACTTTCCAAAAGTCACAGCATTAGTGTCTTAAGCCAAGATTTGCACCTGACAGTCTAGTTCTTGGACTCTCCTACTCTCCTACTCAGTTCTTCTCCAAGAAGGTGTGAAGGTAGGATCATGTATGGAGGGGGGGAGAATTGTAAAATATGAAAAATCTGAAGTCTGAACCTAAGTCTTCTTTCAAAGCTTATGTTTCTGACCACTCTGTCCAAAATTCAAATACTACTATTTCTAGTGCCACCACCATCAAACACCACTTATGTGTGTTATTTGTGTGCCAGGCCACCCCCTTTGTCAGGTTATTCCTATGTCACTATGTCAGTAATTCATGGCCAAACCCAGTCGGCTACCTATTTTGGTAAATAAAGTTTCATTGGCAAACAGCCATGCTTGTTCATTTATATATTCTTTCTGGTTGCTTTTGTACCAAAATGTCGAGTTGAGTAGTTATAATAGAGATCTGTGGCTTGCAAAGCTGAACATATTTTCTAGTTGCCTTTTTACAGAAGTTTGTTGACCCCTACCTTAAACCATCACTTAATGTACATATTATTATCATTCCCATTTTAAGATAAACATTTTGGAATTCAGAGAGATTAGGTAATTTGCCCACCCAACTATTAAGGAGCAAGAATTAATGAAAACCTAAGGTCTAGATGACTCCAGAGCTTGCTTGTTTGTTTGTTTATTTATTTATTTTTGCATTTTTGAAACTTATAAAGGCAACAATTTTTATAGTTACCATTTGTGGGAAAGAATATTTCCCGAATAACACAAGTTAATAATACCTGTTCTAAATTTTGAAATGACATAAGAATATGCCATTGCCCTTACCTTCTGAGAACTTACTGTACTTGACCCCTTGAGGATGGATGCTTAAGGGCTTGTCTGCCTTATTCTTAAAGTGAACTTTCATGATGTCTCCAACTTCAGCATATAAAGTAGGTCCAAGAAGTCCTATGGAAACAAGATTTTGTGTTTCAGGATCATCAATGACAGTGGTGCCAAGTGGGAAAAACATGTAGAGAAACTCCAGAAGCAATTGTTGTCATTCCTCCTGGTCCTGAAGCTAATGTGCTTCTCTTGAATTTAGAAGGCCCTGTCAGCACATTAACTCTACACTACATATAGTCACAACAGGGTGTGGAATCCTTGGCTGGACCCAGAGCAAGTCAAGAGAGCAGGGGAGACCTTTCTGACCAGGTCCCACTCTGATCCACTGCCTTTCCTTAGAGACTGCTATTTTTTAAATTAATTAATTTATTTTAATTAGGTATACATGACAGCAGAATGCATTTTTAAATTTATTGTACACAATTGCGGCATAACTTTTTATTTCTCTGATTGTACACAACGTAGTGTCACACAATATGTGCAGAAAGACTGCTATCTTTGGTTAAGAAAAGAAAGATCATTTTCAGTTACACCAGGGATGTGAAGTAGTGGTAACTTTATATTTCTCTGAAGTAGGAGACCCCAGAGGCCTAATTCACACAGCTCTCTGGCCCTGAGGCAAGTTCATAATTCCTAAATCAGAAGTGTATTTCTGATTGTATCCAAAGAACAATGAGAAAAACAGCCTGGGAAGAATGAGAAGAGACAAGGTAGGTGGAGGTGAGGTGCAGATCATGCAAGGCCCCATGGCTATGGTAAGAAATTTGGATTTTCTTCTATATAAAATGGCAAGTCACTGGAGCTTTGTGTAACAGAGATGGGCAGACATGTTTTAAAGGTCCATGCTAGCTGTGTAGAGAATGAACTGGTGGGAAGAGTGAAAGCAGAGGAAGTCCCATTTCAGACAAGTGACTGGATCAAGTCATCTATAAAGCCTCATGGGATTGGTTTCCGCCTATTAGAAATTGCAGAAGTAGGAGAAGGAAGTGATAGCAGTCATGGAGTCCCACCAGCATTCACTGGCAGTAGTGATGGTTAATCATGCAGCCTCCACAGACCCCCAGACGGTCAAGCACCCTGGGCCCTTGCATTAAATCCTCACAATAAATCTTTAAGAGAGACATTAGAATTCTTATTTTACAGGTAAAGAAATTAAGCCTTGGAGAATTTAAATATCTTGCCCAATATTACACAATTAATGAGAGGCTAAGCCATCATTAAAACAGAAATCTAGCTGAGCTTTAAACTACCTCTTCATCCTGCACTCTCCACTTTGTATTCATTCATTCAACAAATATTGATTGTCCACATCCTCCAGGTTTCAGAACTGCTGCGGTGCAGGAAGAGTAAGATACACTCCCTGCCTTTATAAGAACTTGTAAGATAGTAGGAAAGACAGATTCTGAAATTGGACCCAAGGGCACTCAACCACTGAGCTTTTCTCCAGCCCTTTTTATTGTTTTTATTTTGAGACAGGGTCTTGCTAAATTATTAAAGCTGTACTCAAACATGTGATCCTCTGGCCTAAGCCTCCAAATTGTTGGGATTATAGGCATGCACCACCATGCCCAGTATAAAGACAGATTTTAACAAGTGATTATAGAAATATGTAATTATAAACTGCAGTAAGCCTTATGGCAGAATAGTACAGGGTATCCTGAAAAGTATTAGATAAGGGGATCTAGTCCACTCTTGCACAGGGAGAGGGTTAGGTTTGGGAAACACTTTCCAGAGGAAGTCATGCTCTAACTGAAGTCCAAGGGCAGAGAGGCCAAGAGATGGGCAGGGTCTTTCTATGGAGTGGGATTTGCATGTGCAAAGGCCTTGAGATGCCAGAAAGCTCAGCCTATTTGGATAACTGGCAGGAGGCCATAAGAGAGCTTAGGAGGTAAGAGAGCAAAGTGGAAGGTGAGGTGAAGACCGCATCCCTGGCCCGCTCATTCAGGGCCTTATAGAACTTCTAGACAGTAGTGGTGGTTACTACTGTATAGAACAGTATGAACTTGCCGTGACCTACTAGTGTTCAGAGGCTATCAAAGAGTTTGCAGCAAGATACAACATGGACCAGATATTGATAATCTCTGGCTGCATTTGTGGAGAATGATCTGGGAGAAACCGGTGTGAGAACTCCCTGAGAAAGGTTTGTAGGTGCATTCAGGTTATGGTGGTGGAGATGATAAGGAAGGGACATGAGAGATCCTTTGGGGGATTAACTTGTCAGGACTTGATGGGCTAGAGCAGGGTGGAAGCTGAGGGAGATCAAGTTGCTGTGGATGGTGATGTTTTGGTTTGGGGAGTTGGGTGGATGAAAGTGCTGTTCTCTGAAATGGAACACACTATGGGATTGTTTTGTTAGGTGGATGTGGTAGGCAGAATAATGTCCCCTCCTTCCCAGAGAGGTCCATGTTTTCATGCTTATGATATCTTAGTATGCTACTTTATATGGCAAAAGGGACTCTGCACATGTGATAAGCATTTGGGGAGGAAGAAGTTTTTCTGGCTATGGTGTGGGCCCAGTGTAGTCACAGGGTTCTTTTAAGAGGGAGAAAGAGCATCTTAGAAGGTTAGGGCTGGGGATGCAGTTCAGTGGTAGTTTATAGCCTGGCATGTGAGAAGCTTCAGTTTAGTCCCAACCTCTGCAAAATGAGGGAGGCTGGGGGCAAAAGGGAGAGAGATGGGAGGTTAGAAGATGCCACTCTGCTGACTTGGAAGATGGAGGAATACAAAGGCAGCTTAAGTAATTGGAAAAGACCAGGAAATGATTTTCCTCCAGAGCCTCCAGAAGTAAACAGCTCTGGATTTTAGCTCAGTGAAACCCATTTTGAACTTCTGACCTCCAGAATTGTAACTGTAAGAGAGTGAACCAGTTTGTGTTGTTTTGAAGGCACTAAATTTGTGGTGATTGGCTCCAGCAGCAATGGTTAACTGTAACCTATCATTTCTGATATAGAGGCCCTATGTTTCCCTCACTTGTCTGCACTGTTGTCTTGTTCCTGAGAAAGAACTCCTACTCCTGGGGTTTATATTACTCCATACCTGAAGCTTTCTTTCATTTGCTTTACGTTAGCTCTGCACAGGACCATGGAGGTCATGTGGTTCCATATTCATTTTAGAGATGGTTCATGAAGTCTGGGAGGGAGGAGTAAATGGTTTGCCCAAGGTAAATCAGCAATTTGGTGGCATTGCTGGGACTAGGACTCAGCTCTTCAAACTCTGGGGCTAAAGCTTTCTTTCCCACTTTCCCACAGAGCAAGCCAGACCCTCCCCTTCCTAGAAAAGTCCAGAATTCTTCAGCTTTATTGGCTCCTGAGCATGTCTGACTCCACCACTGACCTCTGTCTGGCTGCTACCTTCCATCTTGGTTCCTTCTGGAAGTCCCACTGGCTACTCCCATCTTCCTGGCTTCCTATGAGCCCAACAGTCCTGGCAGTACTATTGCACCCTGTGCCACATTTTGTTGCCATGGCTCCCTGGCCTGGTTAATCCATTTGTTGGCATCACATGGCTTTAAATGCCAGATGCCCAGAACAAGTCTCCTAAGTTATTTTACCTGAACGGTTTGGAGATTTTATTCAGCTCCCTTCCAGCTTCTTCAGAGTTAAGCAAAACTAAAGGGTGTTTTCATGGATGCAAATCAGATTCCTTAATACATGCAGGCAAACACATGTCTGAATATTTTTGAGCTGCTCTTTAGCTCCTCCATAAACCCTTTCCACCTTCCCCCTCAGTACCCAGAACTTGCTGGGAAAAGGCCTACCTTGGAGCTTGGGGAAAGAAACATAGCATGTACCCAGTTTCATGGAATTGAGAAGGTAGAAAGAATGGCATGAGATGAGCTAATCTAGTCCCCTGCTCTCCAGTGAACAGTGGATTACATGATACAAGGAGCAGCTATTTTAAAACTCTTTTGGAGACAAACATTTCATAATCTTCCTTGAAAAGATTCAGAAACCCATCACTAGCTCTTTTAAAGCCTGTGATAAATTTTCTGATAATGACCTTGCCCTCCACCTGTCCAGTGCCCACAAATATCACTGGACTTTAGCCCCACAGCCTTGCTCCATCCACAATTACAACAACTTCTGGGGTCACCCTGCAGAAGTGCAACACTGTGACTTGTTCAGGGGTCAGCCAGAACCATACCTACCGGATGAGCAGAGCAGAAAATAAAGAAAAGGTACAAATGATACAGGTGGAGGCTGGGGAACTCATATGGTTAGTGGCAGTGTTCACATATAGACCTTCTCAATCAAAATCTGAGGCTCTCCTTCACACCAGCTCTGCTTCCTTGTCTCAGCTACAATACCAACTCCTACTTTTCAGGGCTTCATAGTTAAACAAATTTGGGAATTCAAGAAAAGATTGCATAAAAATGGATGCTAATATGCTTAGTTCACCTAAAACAAATACAATCTGAGATATGCAGGAGTTGACAGAAAAGTAATGCTTAAAGTGAAATGAACTTAAACATGAACCAAAGGCTGATTCATCAACTCTCAAGGTCCACTTATAGTTAATAAGGGCAAATAGGAAATTACTGTAAAAGTTTATCGTCTGAAAGGATTTCCATCACAGTACTCTTCTCTTATTGCTTGGAAGCGCAGGCTGGCAGCTGTCCTTTCTATTACTGCGGCACTCAGTGAATGTCCTACCCAATGAATGTCCCACCAGTATGACATAAACATTTAGTTAACTTGTCAAAAGCCACAAAAGTTACAACCTCAAATACCTGCTAATCTCTCTTTTCTAGGCCTAAGGACTGTTTCCAAGCCGATTTTCCCTTTTACCCACCTACAATTTAATTTCGTTAAACAGTCCTAAAGTATATACTACATATGCTAAGCTTGGAACCGAAGAATGAAAATGAATGGGCTCTGTGATAGAGGAGATCCTTCACTTGTGTCCACACTACAAACTAACTTTATGGGCAACCTTACTGCTCCTCCTATCCCCCAGAGAAGGCAATAGCCCTTCTTCTTAAAGCTGAGACAGCCCAAGCTTTGAATCCCAGCACTTTCTGCTTCTTCTAAGTCTAACTCCATGAATTATTCTCTCTCAGATGTCTTTATCCTCACCCTTTTAATTGGAATCTTCCCTAATATATTAGATTTCTGTATTCTGTTTTATAAAACTCCAAAATATCCTTAGACCCCTAATTCTCCTCTAGAGCTAACCTGTCTCTCCTCCTATTTGAAGCCAGATTTCAGGAAAGAATGATCTCATCTCTTCAATCTTGTTGCTCCTTTGAATTATTTTACCTTTTCTCCTTAAACTCTCCATGAGTGATCTCATACTTTCTCAAAGCTTCATTTACCATCTTGGTTCTGATGTCTCCCAAATATTTATATCTAGCTTGATGTCTCTTCTGAAGGTCAAACCGCTGTCTTCTCATTTGAGTCACTAGGTAGATATTCCAATGCTATCTCAAACCCCGAAACTTTCCTCAAAACTTTCTCCTATTTCTAAATTTTCTTTATCATTGAAGGGCAGCATATCTGTTCGGCTGTTCAAATTAGGAGTCTGAGTCTATCATAATTCTTCTCTCTTCCTCATTATCTACATATAATTTATTACCAAGTTTAGCTCCTCAATATCTTTGGAATCATCTGATTTTCTCCACCTCAGCTTCTCTGATGGCCTTTTACCTTGACTGACCCCAAAGTCCCATCACCTGTTTCTCTGGTGTGGACTTGGCTTTCTCCCACCCATTCTCCTTCTAAAGTACAAATCCAAGTCTCTCCTGTATATATATATATATATATCCTTTCAGAGCCTCCTATTTTCCTCAAGATAAAGCCTTTCTATGGTTTTAATCCAGCCATGTCCCCATCTGGTTGCATGTTTTGTCAATTTCTCCTTTGATGTTTGTGCTGATCCAGTTATGGTTCCCCTAATACACCATGCTTTCTAACTTCTGAGTATTTACACGTACTGCTTCACTTTGGTTTAAAATGCATCTCCATCCCTAATCACTACTTGGATCCTTCTCTTTTTTTTTCCTTTAGCTATCAAGTTAGAAATAGGAAGATTTTCATGACTCCTAGATTGGAGACGGATCTCGGATGTCCTACTATAGATCTCTCATTATAGTTTCCCTTATTTCTGTTCTGTCATGACCTTTCTAATTATAGGTCATCCCCAATAACTGGTTGGCTCCTGGTAGTCAGGCTCTAGGTCTTACCCACTTTTATTTTCCTAGAACCTAGAATTTCATAGATCTTAACACACAGTGTTAAAAAAGAAAAGAATATTTAGATGTATATTTATTTGAGGATATGTGAATATGTAAATGATCATATACAAAGAATATATAAATGAGTTAAGAAATATAGGTATGTAGATGCACATAATACAATGATATATACAATCAAATAGAGATAATATTAACAACTACTATAGCAACAATAATGATAACATAGCTAACTTGTTATTGAGTTCTTAATATGTGTTAACATTATTATAACTACTTTGTATTTATTAGCTCAGATGATCCTCAAAACCATCCCTGGAAGTAGGAATTAGTTCATGGTGCTGGGGGTATATTTAAGATGACAGAGGTATTTCTGCTGGTAGAGGGTATGTACCACGTAGTTTCAGAGAGAACCTGGCCCTGGTAGATAGTTGTGAAAGCCGCGGTAGGACTGAGGTTGTAAGATATACTGGGGACATTGAGAAGGAAAAGCAAAGGAAATCAGAGGGAAACAAGGCACAGAGACCTTTGGGAAGGGAGAGTGTTAAATATCCTGGCAATGGTAAAAGAACTGGAAAAAAGTTGTGGGCACTGACATCCTCATGGTCACAGGGACCCTGCTTTGATAGTAATGAACTCTATCTTATTGTACCATAGTAGAGAAGGGATATAAGGAAAAGAACCTGAGAGAATGATGTAGACTCCTCATTCAAGGGGTGAAGGAAAGGAGAATAAAGGAAAAGGTCATCAGGGTCATGGTGAGATTTCTTTCCTTTCAGGAATTTGCCTGATTATGGTTTGGTTTTGTTGTTTTTGATTTTTGAATGAAGGGAAGACTAGTTGAGGAAAGATTTAAGATTAAGGGAGATCAGAGGAGGCAGGGCAGACTGGGATGAGTCGGAGAGGTGGTGGTTGAGTGTGGGTAGATGACAGGCCTCTGTTTGGCTAAAGAAGTGTGGTGGGATCATTCTCAAGGGGACACAAAGGAAAGAAGTTCTTCTTTGATGGTTTCTCTCATTTCTGTGGAATGTGGTTCCATAATTAAGATCCTAGCCCCTAATCCACTTAGTCTCTGTGATCAAACAAACAATATAGATGAGAAAGAGATGCAAAGAATTAGCTATACATACTTCCTTTGAATGAATTCAGGAAGTCAGATTGAAACAAAAGATCATGCTGTTAAGACACATCTGTGCCTTTCAGACCAATCCACAGCCCTGCGGAGATGTGTTTGAGCCCCCTTTGTCCACTGTTGCACTCACAGTGCCTAATTCAATGCCAAGCCCCCAACAGTGCTCCACGGTGGATTGTTAGATGAATGGGTAAAAAGTCAAACTCCTAAAAGTTTTGTTTAGCTATTCTGACCAAGACTAAAAACATCACTGGTTTCATGGGCATACAATGTGTACCTTTTGAAAGGACCCCCTAATCAGAAGGATCCTTGTTTGCTTTAATGCGTTGCTATCACTGTTTTGAAAATTCTTAATAACACGAGCAAGGGGTCCCACACTCTCACTGTGCACCAGGCCAACAGCCTATATATCCAATACTGGTAAAAACACAAACACACACATACACAAACACACACACACACACATTCTAAATAGGTACTTTAGACACAGATAAATAACACATGATCCATAAAAATTTATGTTTAAAATAAATGATTAAGCAAATAAATAAATATATTTCAGCCTACCTGAAATGCTGGATCGAGGTTTTTCTTTCTTAAAATATGCTTCATACTCTCTGTAGACTATTTTCTTAAAGAAAGTTGTAAAAGGATTCGAACTGGAATCAAAACACAAACATTAATTTGAAAGATGCATATAACATCTACTCATATTATAACCAAGTATCTCTCATAACCTCAGACGTCTAGAATGACAGTGTTTTATAGATATGAACAATAAATGTAATTAATGAAATAATTATTGGACTCTTCAGAAATAGTATGTTGTGATCATATTCTTTCATAAGTTTAGAATGCTCTAATGATGATTCTCAGAATCAATTTTCTTAAAAGGAACCTAACATCATTGTATGAACTCAAACTTTAGGTTAGGTTTTAAATGATTAAAAATATGATCAAGTCACTTAAAAGTAAATAGGTGAGCTATTTTCAACTGATCAGTCAAATACAATTTTTCATAAAACACTTCCTGCAAATTATAATTTTAAGCCACTGGGAAATTTTATAAATTTGTATCGATTTGTTGGACTCTATTTCTGCTTGAGAGGGTGGAGATAGCTAATGGAGTAAAACTCAGATTCCTGTTGGAAACAAATGAAAAAACTATCTTGGAAAGATTAAGTAACTTTCTAAGGAAATACAGTTGATATATGACAAAGCCAGGATCCAACATGGTTAAAATCATTTCCTCTCCTCTGCCTTGACCCAGTTAATCTCTATTTTAATCTTTATTTCTACGTTCAACAGGGTTCTGAATCATAATAACTACAGTACCATATTCCACAGGAATGACAGAGGTTCTGAAAGGAGAAAATCCTGCAGGTGGCCCCCTTGTCAACAATTGACCCATCCTCCTTTCCTAACCCAGGGAAGACCTGCCAGCACAATGTGGTCCTCACATTGTACATTCGATCTTTTGGTTTGTATGCTTTGGCCTGCATCTATCCATCCCCACCCCAAGACATAACTACCACATGCTACAGGGAAGCCTGGACAGAGCTCCTGTTCCACCCATGAGCAGGCAAGATTAGTATCAGAAAGAGTGTTATTTTCTATGGGGTTTGAGGGAGTAACAGTTCACTAAGGGTGTGGGCATGAACTTGGATGAATCATCTAGAAATGCAATATTTAAAATTATTTTCTTTTAAAAGAAAGAATTTCTTTGTACATATGACCAAGATAGTATATAATGCCCTCTTATATAACCCAGTTACAATGGAGTTTTTAAAAGAGTTACTGTGATACATGGAAAAGACTCTCAAAATATTATTTTTTTTTTTGAAGATTGCTTTGGTTCTGTAATTGCAAAAGAGGAACACAGTTTTCACAATCATCTAAATTGTGATGCTAAGTTAAAAAATAAAAGTGATCACACTAGGAGGCTTACCATTTAAAACAAATAAAAATAAGATTAGCTGGAAATATTGGATAGACCCTATGATTTAGTTAATTTCTAGGAAGTCTCATTTTAACTTTTCAATTGGAAAAATATAGTTTGCAACTGAAAGATATGGTTTGATATTATTTAAACCTCCTCTTACTGACACATGCCTTTTAATAGTAACCTTACCAAAATATCTAGGGTAAACCATACTCCAGGAAGTGATTAAGAGAGAAAAAATTAAGAGTCACCGTGAACAGCCATAAATAAGCCAAATATGAAGCAGGACAGAGTGAAAGTACTGAAGTGTCACATTTACATGGACTGATGTTTTAAAAGTCATTTTTAAGAAAGCAACAAAATGATGGCAGTAGTTATTCAGCTCAAAATAATTATCTGCTCAAAATAAAGTACAAGGTGCACAACTTTAGTTTTAAGAGATGAAGTTATGTGACAATGGAATAAATAATATGTAACTAGAAATGCCATAAATATACTGAACTAGTAAAAATCTGGAATGGGAGCTGGTAGGAAAGGCAGATGAGGGAGCTTGGTGTTTGTGAATCAATCAATATGTTAAACCGACAATCAGACTACTAACAAAACTGTACTGAAAACAAACTCACGAAAAGAAAGCAGCGTTTAAACAATCAAGTTGAATATTTTCCACGTTAGTGGAGCAAAATTAGCACTCACCAAGTTTATTATGCTCTTCATACTTGATTAAATGTACTTATTTACCTGAAAACACACACACACACACACACCCGTGGAATTACAAAAGTAATATTCTCTAAAACATTAGATTATCCACCTGGCTACCCCTCCTGGACACCATACCTGAATTACCTTAGATTTGTGTGCTCAGGGTGGTAGTTCCAGCTGATGCCCTGAGCTGCCACGTAGAACTGCCTCAGCTGTGCTGCGTCAGCCCCGTGTCTCCCCCAGCCTGCCCAGCAGCTGCCCAGGACCACCAGTACCCAGAGGTGTGGGCAGCCTAGGAGCATGGTTCCTTCCCTTCTCCTGCCCTCTGCCCCCCTGGGACCAGCAGGGCTTGCCTGGCAGCTTGAGGTGCCTGGTGCTGCACTGTGAACTGTCTTGGCTGCAGTGAGCTCTGGGAGGCTGTGGGTGGCAGTGTCCTCCTCCCCTGCAGCCTCTGGCTCACCCTCCCTCCCAGCTTCCTGGGGCTTGTCCCTGCAGGGGCGTGGTAAGATCACTGTCCTTGGTGAGGAAAGGGACAAGAGGGAGAGTTAGTAACTGTTTTTCTGCAGGTAAAGAAAAGGCAGGCAGAGATCTTGCTAGAGGATCCAATAGGAGGGACAGTGCCCAGGAATTCACAGGCCACACTTCCCTGGCTGAAGCTACTGGAGCAGTAGCCTCCCACCCTCCATGGTGTGTGTGTCAGAGTTTGTGCTTACCAGACTCTGCAATTCCCAGTACACGGAGACTCTGCAGCCTTCCTACCCCCAGTGGAAAGGGGCATTTTGTCTGATACTGGGCACAGAAACATTGTGCCCTCAGGTTGGCAATGAGTCCATGAGGAAGCCTACTGCTATAGATCACTTGGCCAACTTCTACCCAGGCACAGTTGTCTTGATAAGGGTTTGCTACTGGTTAGAACACAGCAGAGCAGAGGGCTTAGCTGAGATAATCAGTAGTTCAGATTTCAGTTCTGTTTACTAATTGTGCTCTTGGGCTCAACTCTCCAGACTGCGGCTTGACATCTGCACAATGGGGTTGCTAAGACCAGTTTTTCCTGAAAGCATTGTTGGAAGGATTAAAGAATATTGCCTAGCACTTAGAAAGCACACAGCACATGTTTACTTCTGTGATTATGTTTTCCTGTCTCCAGGGCCCCTCATATTTCCTGAAGGATGTATTTCACAAAGGGTGATTCAATCTTTTTCTGCTGTTGGTAGAGGATCTGAGAATTCTATTACCTGAGACATCATGATGACTCATCCAAGGGTGCCTGGATCTGTGTGCCTCCAAGCTTCTGCATATGCTTTATGCCTTCAATTCATTCAACAAGTTGTGGTCTGACACCTCCAAGAGGTACTATTTAGTGACACCAGGCTTCTCTGCAACTCCCCTCCGCAGTCTTCTCTTTCCCCTTTTGCTAATATTATCTACCAAAGTAGAATTTCCTTCCTCTTTTGCTTGCCCATTCTTTGAAGTTCTGAGTTCTCCCTGTCTCCCTGATGGTGGGCTCAAATTTGACTTTTCTATTTTATGAACTCCTACACCACCATTCAAATAATACACTTCTGTTGTTCCTCTTGTATTATACTGTGTGGGTTTCTGTTGTACCCCAACTAGGTTATAAGCTGCTCCAGGTCTTACACTTCTGTACATTTGATTTGTGAACCAGTGATTCCCAAAGTCAAGAGAGCATTAGGATTCCCTAGTGACTTTCACAAAGCGCAGATTCTGACTCAGGAAAGACCAGTGGCATATAATACCTAGCCTAGTGATAGACAAACAAGAAGCAGTTATGGATGCCAAAGGCAGTATGACTGAGAAACTTTTTTTAAAGCACCATGTGCCTAAATCCCAAGGTTATTATCAATATTCTTGAAAAAGCCTTGTAATCTTTAGGCTGCTTTACCATTTTAACTTGTATATTTGCTTATATGTACCCAGTCTATATGATGTAGTCATTGGGTTACATTTCACCATGACAAGACAACTACAATGCTTGGCTCTCTAACTTTTGCATCAATTCTGGATAAACACTATATAACTTTCACTGACCCACTTATTAAACATGTGATTTAAAGAACAGGTAAAACACATTCATTCTTTCCTGTGAAACATTAAGGTAATGGAGACTTTCTGTTTCTCTGACTTTCTCTTGGACCAGGGAGTGTGATGTATGTATTTGCCAGCTCATTGACAGGTGGAGCTGTAATTAGGACAACTATAATCATGCACTACACTGGTGCCAACAGAGTGATGTATACAGACCTTATTGAACAAAACATCAAACAAAGGAACATGGCATTTGGGGGCAAATCCATTTAATTGGTCTTTGGGTCCTTTGATAAGATCTACAGTGAGATGGAGCTTCCTGTTCTGATTCTTGGTCTTCTTAGCCTTGGGTACCATCCCAGGTTTCTCTGGAAACCTCAGCAGCAGAGGTCTAAGGCTCCTCATTGACAGCAACCACTGGAGTTTCTGGGAGATCCTGCTGGGGTTTCCTTAAGTCAGAGATGTGCCTGGCTTCCAACACTGCAGAGAAGCCTTCCATAACCCCCAAATAAAGGGGTATTTTCATTTCTCCAGTCTGGTCTCCTGGTGAGTCAAATACTCTGGTCTCTTTAATTAGCTGGTATTTCCAGTGACAGCCATGTTCAAGTCCACAGACCACAGCACAAACATTGGCTCTTGGCGTCAGCAGCTTGTGTTGGAGGAAGAGCAGAGGTGGAGCAGGAAGTGGGGGGTGGGGAGGTCAGAACATGGCACAGTCCTCTGCTCTGGTCCAGAGTTGGTCTAAAGGAGAGTCCATGCCCTTATCCAGGGGTTTACAGAAAACTGCCACAATTGTGCTACAGTTAAAGTCAAGTTTAGCAGGAAGCTCCATGTTCACCAACTAGGATCCTGAGAGGTTGGGAGATAGGCCTCTGAAAATGAGATTAAAAGAAATCAAAATCAGTATTTTTCCTTTAAAAAAATAAAAGAAATCTTTCATCATATCTCTCCTCTGAGGCTCAAGACGATCTTCTCTTTCTAGATTGCAGATTTTCTGCTCAAGGCTACTTTCCTTAAGAAACTCAGCTATTTACTGTGCTGCTCTGGAAGAGTGGTAGCAGTTTCCGTTTTCCCAGCAAGTAACAGAGGAGGCTGTCAGGGAGCAGCCACAGTGTCAATCAATACACCTAGCAGCTAACAACAATACTGTCACATTCCTGGAGTAAGGGACATACTGCTGGAGCACTTCTATCCTGGAGCTTATGGAAAGGCTTGATGACTCCCCCACTACAGTTGCTCCACTGACACACCTGCCTTCCGTCGCTAATACGATCTCCTTCGTGGCCTGAAGATTCAATACCTGCTTAAGATGTATTACTTGATTATATATAGAAAATCAAGGTTTTTATTCTTCTATTTTCCCAAATTATTCTATTCCTTCAAAAATATCTTCTTAACTTATCAACCCTTAACTTACCTTAAGGGTTCGGGTCAAATGCAGCATTTGTAAAAACTCCGTATGTTCCTAGGTGGCTAAAGAACAGAAACACAAGGATGACCTGCCATGTAATGCTTAGTCCCCAACAGTCCTGCACATATTGTCTACATAAACCATGCATTACTAGTCTGCCCCTGAAATTCTGTCTGTTGTAATAAGAGGAAAAAAAAATGCTAAAGCAATTTTAGAGATCTCATTTAACAGCTCTAGATAATTTGCATTGCATTTTACTCTGTTACTGTTGATGCTTTATGTGCAGAATTTCTGCTGTGCCCTCTAAGGGGCTGTACCCCCTTCTCGGTGAGAAGAAATAGTTACAAAATTCTGAGCTTTGATAAATTGATAATCTAGCATTAGTTTTCAAAGAATGGTGATACTGCCCCCTAGGGGTGTCTTTTTTATTTCATAATGATCAGAAGTTCTACTGACATAGTAGTCCTGGGTCAGGGTGCTGAAATGTCCAAACAGGTACAAGATATAAGAGAATTGTCATACATCGCACACAGCTTTGGAATGTCTACTCGACATTCATATAGGCCAGATATCTTTGAGCCTGGAACTTACAGACTTACATATAAATATTTAGCATTTCTTGCATCTTTTACAATGCAGTTGCCATGTGAATTAAGGGAAGATCATTGAACAAAACATCAAACAGTAGGTTGTACAACTCTACCATGATTGTTTGCTACTTTGAAACATCAGGTCTGTGTTGGCCATGCCTCTGATGCTGAGTCCCTGATACAGCATTCCACCAGCCCAGCTCCCCAGCTGATGCTTCCTAGTGACACTATAGGGAGCACAAGCTCTGATGGCCTTGGGGCACCTTAGCTTTAGCATTTGGTTTCTACTATGACCACCTTCTCTTTTATTCTCCTTTATTAGGAGAATTAGGACATTTGCTGATTTTAAAAGCATGGAGTGTGGCCAGCATATATTATCTGTATATCTTACTTCAGGATACTCAGGAGGACACAGCAAAAGATTTTTTATACAAAGGTGGCAGCCATTATGTGTGATCTTTCTGTCACAAATCAGAAAGTCAAACTAACAAAATCCACTCAGTCAAAGAACATTTCCATCTCACCTTTGAGGGTTCAGGGGGCATTTCCCGTCATCTGAAATAAGTGGGAAAACACAAATGATTGGTTTAAAAGGAAAAAAACAGAAGCGTGATGAAGGGGCAGTCATTAGTGATCGCAATGACTGGGGAGAGTCAGTAGAATGACTTTCAGGTGGACTCATTCTGAGGCGCATTGGGAGCAGTCTACCGGAGAGAGAGGACCTGCTGTAGGCTAAATTCCATATTTCACAGTGTTTAACTCCAGAGTCCTCTCACCTTCTTCCTCTTGCCTTTCAGTTAAGAAAAGCTCCTCAAGCCTCTGAGGCCTTCAGCCTCTTGACCCTCGTGGGTCTCCTGTTGCTGCATCCTGAGGATCCCAGCTGGGATCACACAAACCCATCACACGGGGCAGTGGGGGTTTCCCCTCCCTGTCACTTATGTGATCAGGTACTTCTGGCCTTAGTCCAAACCACAGCCTCTGGCAGTCGACTCTTCATATGTGGCTGTGGTATTTACCTGTTACCTGGTCATGGAATATCCAGAAGCATGAAACCAAATTAGGATAAGACCAGGAAAAAAACTCCCATCCCAAACAGGCGAATTTGTATATTATCAAAGATACAGGAGGATAAGGGGTTGGTGGTCCCTTTCCAACCTAGAAATGTCTCTAGAAAATGAATTGGTGGGGAAAAGTAGGAGGAAATACTGTGATTCCTGTGGTCATGGAGACTGGGATCTAGCTGCCAGGAGCTCTTGCCTCTGCCTTCTTGATCTGATCAAACACAGTTTGCTTGGAGGGATTGGTTGTAGCTCTTGGTATACCTTTATGGTCTTTAAGCAGAGCATTATCCTTTGTCTATCACCTTAGTCATTTACAGGAGAGAATGTGAAGGAGCTTTGGAAAAACAGCTCATGGCAAGGGTAGCTTTTTGAATGTGAGGAGGCAGCAAGTTAGGAATAGGTGTTGAAACTCCTCGATGCAATGAGAGCTTCAACATCAGCCGAGGTTTCAACATAGCTGCTTCCAGTTACCTGGATCTGAGCTTAAGTTGACCTTTGGTGCTTTGCACTACTGTCTATAAGGAGAAATAGCAAAGATCCCTATTAGACAAGTTTATGTAATCATGTGCAGGCACATGTCACGACAAATTTTAACTCCTAAAGAGATGGGCTGTTCCCTCTTTTATTCCCTGTTTTATACTTCTCTGTCTGCTGAAGAGTTTCCCTTACAGTCTTCATCCCTTTGGCCACTTCCCTGCTTAAGTCCTGCATAGACTCCGCAAGTTCTTAGAAGAAAATGCAGACTTCCTAGCTCCCCGTGCCAGGGGCTACTAAAGCAGCTGCTCCACAGGCTCACACTTCATTTCCTGTCTCCTCTGTAAGCCCCTCTGGACTCAGGCACACTGGCAACTACACACCATTTTCCCAGGTATCCTCCCTTTCACATCTTGCCATGTGCCACTTTTTCTCCTGGAGCTCTATATCCATTTTCCCCTTTAATCAAATCCCTCCCATTTGTTCTTCAAAGCTAAGCTTGAGCAAGCTTCTCTGAGCCCCAGTCTGGTTTAGGAAGCCCATTCTGTGTTCCGGTGATAGGCTGCTGCTTTTGTTCTCACACATGTCCCCCACTTGAGTCTGTGTGTATTGACCAAACACACAGACTCAAGTGGGGGACATGTGTGAGAACAAAACACAAGCAGCCTATCACCGGAACACAGAATGGGCTACCTACCAGGTATAGCAACCTTGATTAATACCAGGGACCATCATTACAGTGCCTAACAGACTGTAAATGACTGTCACATAGAGGAATGAGTGAAGGAGGCTGACATGGCAATTTTAAATTGTGATTGCAAATGCTGAACTGCAAAACTGCCTCCTCAGAATTTTGAAGGAGGGCTTTTGAAAACTTCAGATTTATAGGCTCATGCCCAAGTCTCCCTGTGGGAACATCAGCATTTGGTAAATTTCTCCAGGTGATTTTGCTGGACAGTCAGTTCTCAGGATCACTAAGTTATCTCTGCCTTCTTTTAATTAAATGTTTCCAAACATGAACTATTGAAATGGTGGTTTCACTACCCCATCCAAAATCACATGAAAGAAGAAAGCAAGAGGAAAACTCGTTCTTATTTACCTTTCTTTATGAGACGCTTTCTCAGCAGAGCCAAGAGTGTCCCACCCATGACCAGACCTATTGTAGAAGCCACAGCTCCACCAAAGTAAGTCAGGGCCTCCTGGACAGTCAACGGCCCCTCTGCAAAAAAAAAAAAAAAAAAAAAAACATGCACATGCAAGATATGAGAAGTGCTCTGTGCAAAGGCCAGTTGTTCTCTTCAAAGGGTCCCAAGAACTCTAAGATGTTCTTGGATCATCCAAAGACCTGCCAGTGCTGACAGCCTGCTGTGAAAGGAGATATGGAAGTCAGAAAGCCATGATCAGAGAGTGGGAAGCACACAGGATCATATTCCTAAGACTTACATATTAAATGTAATTTCAAAGCCTTCAGAAGAAGATCTAATAAAAGGAAAGACATTGTAGATGCAAGGGGCCTACACATGGAAGTTTGAGCAAATAAAATGAGCCATGGGGAATTTTTTTTGGCCATCAAAAATTCAGAAATGCAACAGAAAGTAATCAGAATAAGCTGCTAGGGAAAAAAGCAGGGGAGAAACTTGGAGCTGAATTGAAGCTTGCAAACAGGTGGAGCATAATTAAGATCTGTGATATTTCTAGAGGTAAGTGGTAAACAAAATTCTTCTGAGGTAATAAACCAGAATCTGCATGATGAACATATTTCGAAACTTCAAGATGTGTTAGTAGAGATTACAAGTAAGCAAGGGAACTTATTTCACAAATCTGAGCCCTGAAAAGGAGTGGCAGTTATGTACACAGAGTCACTGAATTTAATTCCCACTGCTCTACATAAAGCAAGGAGATTCTGTCTGACTCATTGTGAAACCTTTATCAAGCAAGGGGAAACCTTGTGACAGAAAGGAGGACAACTGTGACAGATATAGAGAGAAGAAATACTGATTTGTTTTTCATATTGAGAAGACTTCCTAAACCATATGAAAAATGTACCTTGGCAAGTTGGTGTGGTAGCTGACCAGTGTCCATTCTCTTGGCATGCTGCTCTGGCAGAGCCATTAAGTAAATGACCCTCTGGACAATGGAAGGTGCAGGTTGACCCATAGCTGAAATTCCCCCAGGGGTTGGAACAGTTCATCACTGTTGGCTTGTTGATATGCAGTTCTGAGCATTTGATGGCTGCAGGAAAAGGAGGAGGAGAAACAGCATGAAGAATGACGGTGAATGAGATCATGGTTTCATCTGTAACCTGACTAGCATTGCCAGTAGACAGTAGACTATGAAAAGGTCAGAAGGAGATCAGCCACTTCACACTCACACCCACTCTTCCAATATCACACAATGCTAAGTATCCCCTCAGAGAATGCTAGCCAAAGAACAAGGAGGGGCCAGCAGCATCCAATAAACATCTGCTAAGGGGTTGATTTTGCCTCCAAAAATACTATTTGCAATTTTTTTTCTCTCAAAAATACTATTTTTAAGTGCTATTATTAGTACCTGATGGTTAACTGGCAGGTCAGCATGAACTTATTAAAATACTTAATAAGCACTCAGTGCAGCTAGAACTGGAAGTTTGTTTATTTCCATAATAGATGCTGGAAGTTTGAAAGTAGAGGCCATCATCCTCTTTTAACTATTTTTTTGAGGGAATTTCATGTTCTTTTTTCTAACTTATGGAATGGGAAACGGAAGCTCAGGAATTATATCTAATTTAAGTAAATATTATTGGCAGTACTGATATTTGTAGAGCTCTGTGTTATGCTTTGTGGGAGATGTAAAGATGAAAGGGATATAAAACTTCAAGCTTCCTTTATGGGGTGACAGCTCTCCAGGAAGTATCACATAGGTGTAACTGTCTAGATTCCAATTATTATGAAAATACGAGGTGTTTATCCTGTCGCCTAAAAACATTGTAGCTTATGTTTCACAAATCATACAGCTGGTTTTATTCTTAGCATTCTTCTAGTTTCTAACACATCTGTGCTTGTTTCCTCCTTAGAGCTTTGAGAACCAGGGCATTAGCTCCATCAAGAGGAGGAAGGGCAGAGATGTGCGTGTGGACAGTGCAGCTGACTGGATGGGTGTGGAATTCATGGAGGACTCGACCCATGCAGTGGCTGCTGGGGCAGGTACACTGGCTAACTTAAGTGCCTGCAGGATAGCGTGTCAGAACCTCCCTGCTGCTTTTCACTTTACCTCTGCAGGCTGGGGTTACTGCTGTCCATTGTCCTGAAGGCTTGCACTTGAGGGTGCTGTCTCCTGTGAGGGTGAATCCAGCTTTGCATCCAAAGTAGCAAGTGGTATCCAAGCCAAAGGTTTCCCCAGGATGTCTGCAGGTCATTGTTCCCTGCCCAGAAGCAACAAGGGCTGGGCATCGAACCTTGGAGGTAGAAACTGACGCTACACCTGTGTTGAGAGGGTATTTCAATTTAGAGAGCTCTCAGTTAAAAGCAGCATGTCAGAGTTAAGGCTGACATGGAAACTGCCCCCCACTCCTTTCATCATGGGGGAGGCACTACTGACATCTGTAAGGAAGTTAAAGTGATTAATCTCAGGCGTGGAAAGCAGAAGAGGAAAATTGTTTACAAGTGCCCCTGTAGAGATGATTCTCCTACACAAGAAGAAAGGGGGGGGGCGGGGTCACTAATAACAATTTTGAGAAAAGGGAATCAGCAGAAGAGTTGTTGCAGAAGTAGCAATTCAGTAGGCTAAACGCACATGGGCCAGTTGTATGCCTTCCTCTGCTTTACTGGGAGGTGATATTGTTCTCTGGTCAAAGGTCAACATGAAAGGAGATGCCACTGGTTTTGCCACTTGCTATGTGGCAAGAAGATGACTAACTTCTCTGCACCTCAGTTTCTTGATTTGCAAAACTGGACTGGTAACAGCAGCCCTTGTACTCTTGGCAATGAAGTAATGGGCACCACTCGGTTTGCTCAGCGAAGCCCTTTTGGAATACGAGGCTAAATACCGTATAAAACACGATTTCTACAGAAGCATCAGTATATCTTTTATTTATAAGCATAAACAATCCTGTCACTCCTTAGACATTATTTTAACCCATTGGTTGTGTTTGCTAAACCCAAATGATGTGAAACACGCACCTGCCACCTATGAGAGCCACATGTGTGTTATCATTGTGGGGGACACTCCCGACATGGAAGTGTCCCAGCAAGTATCTGTTTTTACCTTTGCAGCATGGGGGATGTGCTGACCTTCTTCCAGAAGATGTGCACTCTACGCTGCCTGATCCCTCTAACCCAAAGCCCTTGTTACATGAGAAACAGCAGGGGGAGCTAACACCGAGTTCTCCGTGAGTGTGAGAATAGTCGAGGCTGCCCTGCTGGGGGACAAAGAGTTTGGGGCACTTGAGGGCTGGAGTACCAAGCCAAGAATGACACAATCACCAAATGCACTCAGAAGTTCTGTGCTCCATCCATATATTCAACAAGTATTTATTTACCCCTTACTGTATTCCAGGTGTTTGGCTAGGCCACTCATTCCAACTACACAGGGCAGTGGGAGGGACAGTGGGCTCTCAGAGCAGAGGATATGTAGAGGGCACAGAGAGCTCACAATTTCATCCTCCTTTGTTCACACCCTCACTCCGGAGACCACAGAGCCTCCTCTGGCTCCCACTATCTGTCTGGGTGGGTGCACTCCAGGATTGTTTCTACCGTCTTCCTGCCTAAGACAACTCCTCTTAGACATCCTGTCATCTTTTCAAATTCAGTACATCTAAAACTGCAATGATCACCTTCCTCCTCAAACCATGTCCTCTATTTGAATCCCCAGCTTGATTTTTTATGCCGCGGTTCCATAGCAGTGGGAAGTGCAGAATCCCCCTCAAGACAGCTAAGTTCTGGGCATTCCAAACCTGACCTGTTGTGATTTTGCTCTGGTTCTTGGCCTACACTGCTCTTAATTTCTTTCCATTTCCACTGATTAAAATCCCACAGTTCTCCAGGATCCGACTCTGCGGCTTCTCTGCAGCTGTTGCTGAACGCAGTGTGCACTCTCCTCAGACTCATCGGCTTTCTGCTTGAATTCATGCACTCTCATGTCCTGACAGCTGAGTCCTCTTCTATGCACAGAAAGCTTCCAATACCCCCTAACCACCTGTCCTTGTCTCTACTGCAGGATCCCAAGAGGTGGTGCTCAATAACCATATGCCCAGTGGATGAATACACAAATTTCTAGTTTGTTCACTACAATTTCCTCCCCAAATTGTTTTCATAAATTATTGCAGTTATATCTTTCTCTCAGCATTGTTTTTTTTTTCTCATTAAGTTATCTGACAAACTATGACTTATCAATGAATATTGAATTGTTGACAAACTGAGTGTTCTTTCTTTGAATCCTTGGTCCGGTTAGGCTCATTTTACTTAGCTATTTTGATTTTAAAATCCCCCTTCAAGTCCTTTGTGCTGTTCCATGGAAAAGGGAGCGGGGTGGGGTTTCACTGGGCAGGTACACTGGCTAACTTAAGTGCCTGCAGGATAGCATCAGAACTCTGGGTATGACTTTTGGCCTTTTCATGTTGGTCCATGTGTTCTGCAGTAATGGGTCATGCACTGGAAGACGGTGGGTCCTTATTGCAGGGATCCATTGAAACAAACAGTGAATTTCAGTCCAGGGTTCTCAGATTCAACAATCGGATGTAGTAATTAACAACTCCATGTCTGGCCCATCAATTCCACTCACCAGACATTTACTAAACATACCTACTGTAAGTCCCAGGTGAAAGTCATCTGTGAACATTTTCATTAACCTAACTTTCTCAGCATCTCCCATGATTACATCTTTAAGCCCAGGAATATGCACCATGAGGACAGTAGGGGCCGTGTAGTTTCTTCTAATTCTTTGCCCCTGGAAACAAGGCCTGGCACATGGGAGGGAGTTCTAAAAATTTTTGTTGACTAAATGAGTAAGTTAATGGGTAATTCTTATAAGGTTGTGTGTTTTTTTGTCTGATTTGAAAAGAAAACAAGATGTTACTATTTTAAAAAATTGACTAAAGTGACTGAGCATCTAAAATGAGAATTTCTACAGAATTAATCTACTTAGGGATCATTGCTTTGGTTTCAGCTTTGTCAGTCTTGCTCTGCCAATGTGGCAGTTCCAGCCTTTTCCATCCATGGAAGTCTCTGAACCTTCTCAGGTAAAAGTCACATTGTCAAACTCAAGCCCTTTAGATGACTTCAAGGGTTTGACTTCGTGAATCATGCAAGGATGCAGGCTTTCCTGTTTGAGGGCATTGGTAAGGCACCTGGAAGCCCAACTCAGATCTGGCATCTGGTGGGCACACAGCAGACACAGCTCCATTAAATTCATGGAGTTATCTAGGGTGCTGCTCAATGTAGGCGTAGAGGCTCACTTGGAGAATAAACTCTGCGTGTGACTTTAAGAAGTGGCCTTGCTTCAAAACATTGGCAAAAGCCCAATAGCTATAAGAAGAGTAGAAAACAGATGAGAGTTGCTTTCATTAAACGCCCTCTCGTTGACTTCCAAGGCAGTTCTTCAGTGAAGGGTCGGCACGGTGTTTCCCTGCACTCCATCAAGTGGCTATACATGGTGACATGTGCATCTGTGAATTATTATATCCACTGCACTCTAGTCACTATCTTAAGACATACTGATTCATATTATTTTAGATTCAGCCAATTTCTTGTTTTACTTTTTAACTTTTTAATTTTTATTTAAAATGGATATGGCCTCAAGAACTTCTTGGAGTTAAGATCTAGTTTAAATAATAATTGTAATAGAGTTGTCTATTCTAAACTCAAACTCAAACTTTAAAAATATCTGGGTGCAGTGGGAGCATACTTTACCTACATGGGAGGCTTACACAGGAGGATGGATTGAGACCAGGAGTTTCAGTCCAACCTGAGTAAAATAGTGGGACCCAACCCCAGACTAAAACACAAGCAAGCAAACAAGCAGATGATTAAATAAATAATGTGGGAACTCCCATGAAGAGAATTAAGAAACAGATAGAGACATGCCCCCAACCAGAGCTTGGAGTGTACCCATTTGCCATATTTCAGGAATTGGATAAGCAGGGCCAAGGCATAAAGGTAGAGGTTGGGCTGAGAGCAGAACCAGGACCAGTCCCTCAACATGGTGGGGCTGGATGTTAGGAGTAGAAGTTCAGAACCAAATCTAGTGTTTGAGGGTCAGCAACAGTGTTATTGATCAGGAGAGATTCATCTGTGCCAGGAAGGTGGCTACACAGACAGTAATACAGGGATACACCAACTGCACACAAGTGCTCACAAATTGTGAGAGTTGGCAGAAGAACCTCAGGACTACTTAGGTTCGTGGAGAGGGTTCTAGGTCTGGGAGAGCAAGGACCAGGAGGAAACTAGAAAAAATAGGCAGAACCCAAGTATGGAACCCAGGGAACTGGTGTTCTAACTATGATGGAGACATTTCAAAGCTACCCCCAAAATGAAACCTGCATTGCACTCTAAAAAGAGAATTGGAGAGCTCCATCTACCCCAGCGCCCCTCTGTACTTGGTGACCCTCAAAGGGCTCTCTGAAGTATCCTAGGATTCTGCAGCGTGCTGTATAAAACTCTAGAGATGGTGCCAGGGGTTAACAATTCAAGCACTCAGCTGTGTGGGGAAAGGAGACCAAGCATTTGCCTAAATCTAGAACATATGTTTGGAGAATGAGGCGAGAATAAGGTACAAAAACCAGGTCTCAGAACCAGGATCAGGTAAGGTAGACAATTTTGAGAGCCATTGTGGACTGAAGGTGCAGTTTCTTTCAGGGTTGGTTCTAGTTTCAGGGTGGGGAAGGCTATAAGGAGACAGGCAAATGCCACCTGTTATAAGGGAAAGAAGTGAAGGGAAATAGGCTTCAGAGAGTACAGGTTTAACAACCATGTTGGTTACATAGGTGATTCGAAACTTTTGTGAGATTTTTGTTTGTTTGTTTCAGGGATTTTTGATCCTTCGTCATTAAAAGTGGAATATTGTAAAATAGAGATCGTGATAAACATCAATGAGATAATCGAATATGAGTGAGAAATGAAGGAACGAACTCAAGCCCTAAAGCTGGCCCCGAGAATATTCTAGATTCCTCAGGGGGCTTGCAGTGTATCTTCTGAACAGCAGGCGGTAGCATTTTATGTTTCTTACCTTGCAGAATTCATGGCCTGGGAAGAGACCTCAAAGATGGTCTCATACATTCCTCTTCTTTTGGAATTGAGAAAACTGAGGTCTTTGGAGGTGACGAGACTTTCTTAATGCCACATGCTAGTGTGGTGGGAGGTAGTATAAGTCTCTGGAGATTGGTACTCATTGCATGAAGGGGAATAAATAATATTTTAGCCATTTTTTTATGTAATACTAATGGATTCCTACTGATATATTATTCTCTTGCCTGATCAGGCACCCCCATCCCTAGGGTTTATTTCAGCGGTTAGAACTGAAACCTGTGTAATGGAAGAGTACATTAAGCCATGGACCCAGGATTTAGAAGCCTGCCACTGGGTGGCAGTGTGGCATGAAGGCAGAAACACCTGTTGTCTGACTGGGCCTGGGTGAATCCTGACTTTAGGCTTCCTAACTACGTGCCTTTGGCAGCTACTTCTTCTCTCAAAGCCTCCGTTTCCTCATCTTCGAAGTGGGGATAACAATAACTAACTTAAGAGTGGCTCATGTATGAATAGTTGGCAGTATACAAGCAATAAATATTAACTATTATTGCTGGTCTCGTTACTTACCCTGACTACACTGAACGCTAAATTGGAACAACAGTGCCTTTTGAAACTCAGCAGCAGCTGTGACCTAGTAAATTCAGTGTATTTCTATTTTAGAACATGCACCCTGCCTGCTAGATGCTAGCCAGCCAGATGCTTTGGGAAGCTGAACATAGATAAGCTCCACCTTGCCTTGGAGGATTCCACTCACTCACTGTCAGTAAAGCTTTGAGTGAATTTCACTGGCAAATGGTCATCAAATGGATGTCCATCACACATCCACTATTTTCTGTCTCGCTGTTACAGGGGCATAAGATGAGGATGCAAGCTCCTGCCCTCAAGGAGTTTGCAACCCATGCAGACATGGAGGGAGGAGTCAGTAATAAAATAGTAATTTTGTTCTGGTAGGCCAGAACAAAATCACATCCATCCGTGGGTGTGCTCAGTGTCTGGGACTTAGCAGTGCCCAGTGAAGGTGAGTGTGAGAAAGAATGAATGCTGATATAGCAGAAAAAGATTCGCAGAAAATGAGTTTCAGTGACACAGTTGAGCTTCATTATTTACTAATGGTTACTTAACCTCTCTGAGCCTGTTTCTTTCTCATCTTCCAAATGGAAATGATAATGTCTTTCCTCTTTCTTTCAGAATTCTGGCAACATCATTTAAGAAGGAATGAGACATTTCATAAATCTGAAATGTTTAACTCAATTTATTTAAACATTCGGGGGCTGGAGGGAGAGAATGAGACTGACTAGATTACCAGGCTTTGTGGAGCATATGCTGTTTTAGTTCAAGAACAATTCTCGATGATTCTGCATTCTATATTGCTATTTGAAAATGGTAAGAAAAGACCTAAGCACATACCTTCACACCTTGGCGGGGAGCCTGTCCACTGTCCAGATGGAGTACAATCCAACCTTTCAGGTCCAGATAAAGAAAATCCCTCGTCACAGATGAACTGGCAGGTGGCTTTATAACTGGACTCTCCAAAAGGTCGGGTACAGGTCATTGTTCCATTCTGAGGGCTCAGCAGATGTGAGCAAGTAACGGCTACCATGGGTGCAGCAGAGGAGGAGATTGTGTTAGTACTCAACACCCTGAAATCTGTGTGTGTGTGTGTGTGAGCGTGCATATGTTGCCCCTTGAATACTCAGGGGCAGCGTCTGGATAAGTGATTGTTTGAATTCCTGGTGCTTTCTCAGTTTGTGGAGGTCTAAAATAGCAGCAGCTTTCGATTGATTTGGGCTCTGAAATGCTCAGCCCCCAGGAGCTTTGGAAGGGACTGTAAAAGGGAGCGGGTGCTGTGTTTGAAGGACAGTGGTGCAGAGCATTTCGGTGTCCCCTGACAGGAGGGGAGGTGCTGCTCCCTTGATCACCTTCGTCAGAAGTAGACCTAGTGACCTTCCCAGAAAACAATGACAGTGACTGGAAAAAGGAAACAGGATAAATTGCTTTCTCCTCTTCTCCCAACGTGGTGGTGGGAGGAATCTGGGTCCAGACCCTGGCTCTGTTACTTATCAGCAGTGTATCTCTGCACAGTGACCTTTCTGAGCCTCAGTTGCTTCATCTTTGAAATAGGAAAAAGTAAAATCTTTGCCTTGCAGATATCCTTAGCTATGTAGGAAGTTAACTAAATCATCTTTAAAATTAAATTTAAAATATAATAAAAAATCACAGACACAAAGTAGGCACATAATTCATCAGCTGCTGGCAAATGCTAATTCCACCACTTCCCCACAGTCTCATTCTATAGTGACCAGTCAAAATTGATTGCTTGCTCACTTAGGAAAATGTTAAATTAGGTCTTATAGCTCTTTGCCACAGTTTATAGAGTTTGTGGTGCTAGGGTCTTGCTTGGGTTGATGAGGACCCAAGTCCTCCTTTGGCAAGTCACTTGACCTCTTTGAATCACAATATCTTAAAATAGGGAGAACAGTATTACATAGCTCCTAGTATTCTTATTCGGATTAAGAGTGAAAACACTTAATGTAACTGTCAAGGTGTTCCTCTACCGATTAAGGAAGCTGTAAAGCACAGATTAAAGGTGCAGACGTTGAAAGGTAAGACTGAGCGAACACACGGTTGTGGGTGTTTCTTCCTTGCTGTTTGTGCTGGTGGAGCATCATGTGGCTTTGGAGTAGAGACAGTGGTGTGGCTGTCCCAGGGCCACTTTTCAGCCACCGACTGGAAAAGCGTGGTTTCGAGCACCTTCTCTTCCTTTCTCTTCCTTTTGTTCCTTGACCTCTCATCTGATCAACTCGTCCAAAGGCCTAATGATTTCCTGCCCTTTGAAAAGTCTTCTGAGTTCTATGTGCATGTGAGGGGGGCAGGGGAGACAAGTCAAGAAGTCCTGACACTGCAGGGACAAAGGGAAGGGGTGCCCATGAGGCCCTGGGGCGCTTGAGTCCATTTGCACTCTGTGGCTTTGCCTTCTGAGGAGGGGGTGGGTGTGGTGGGGAGGGGGACAGTAAAAAGGGAGAGTTTCTGGTAAGGCCCCTCTGAAGTTGCAACAGCCTGCGGATTGCAGGCCTCCTGGCACCTTCCTGCCCTGCTCTCCTGGGGTATTTCACTTTTGTGCACCCAGCCGCAAAAGGACAGAGTTGGGTTGAGTAAACAAAGAACTAAAAGCAGAAGGGAACTGGAAGGTCACAGGAAGCCAAATGAGTGGCAGCCTCCTGCCGTGAAGCACCCACAGAGAGGGCAGTGAGGAGCACTGGGCTGAAATCTGTGCCCTGCACAGCCCACAGCCCACGGTAGCCCAGAAGGTCCCGATTGCTGTGGTGACCCTCCTTGGGGACTCCGAGTTCTTCCCCAAGCTGTGTGGGCTCTAACATGCCCAGTCCCATTGTGGCTGGGAGGAGCACTGAGGGCAAGGCCACAGCCCACCTGCACTCTCCAGACCCAGCTCCAGGGGCTGGCCACACTCTCTGGTGCCTGGGTACAAAGGACATTCAATTTTGCTAAATTCCTTTCTATATCAATTAGTTCATTAATATGTGGCCTAACTTAACAGTGAGCTGTGTGTGTGTTAGCACCCGTGAACTTTTGTGACCTGAATAGCAAGTGGTTTCCTCTTCATAAAAACCTGTATCTGCCTGCTTTCACTTAGATACTGAAAGTCTGTGCAAAGGGAAAGGCATGGCTATTAATGAAGAAATATTGTGTATTTTATCCATTCAAATTTATTATTGAAATTATATGTACACCATAAAATACTAATTGCATGAGGCAGGGTAAATGGAGAAAATATTGGAAGAATTCATACCAGAATGTTAAGAATGTCTATTTTAGGGCAGTAGGGATTATTTAAGAGGATAGTTTTCACTTTTCTGTGTTCTTATTTTTCGGTAGTTTTTGTAAATAAAAATCTTGCTTTGTAAAGTTCTCTTTAAAATGTGTTTTCCATAAATGTAACTAAGGAATTGGATATGTTGAGTAGAAAATGGATGGGGAGGATAAAGAAAGGCATGGAGAGAGTAAGGCGCAAGGGAGCAGTAGCATCTACCCTTCAAATTGCAGATGATGGGAGCAGGTGCATTTCATCAGGGTGTTAAAGTATGACGAGTACCCAGGCTTCTTAACATCAAGTGCATTACACTGAATCTGCACACCTTCTGAGAACCCTGAACCCTCTAGTTCCTGAAGTGGTATCTTCCTCTTCCATAATTCTCCCCTTTATCCTGAGTGTTTCACCACTGTTATGCAAATCTTGGGGTATATCTGCAGCTAGATACCTACTAAGTGCAGCCACCATTACACCTCATGGTGCCTAGGAGGAAAATGCCAAATCAGCCTTGAGACAAACACCTAGAAGCTGATTTTTAATTCCTCCTAGTTTTCTTTCCAGGTGTTATTTTTTAGCCTATGAGTACAGTTTGCTGTGTTCATGACAGGAGCCTTCAGATGCTGGTAAAGGCCCTGTCAAGGAGTAAGCGAGGGCCATTCTGCTCCCTGTGGCCTATTGCCAAACATCCTGACACCTGTATTATCCACTGAGCCTCTGAAGACATTTGTATTTGGGATCCTTGGGTTACAGGGTAAAAGGATTTTCCATCTTGTTTCAAGGAGGACTCTACATAGTTACCAACTCTAAAACACAGCTGTTAAGAACACTGCCTATGACTTACTTCCAAGGGGCTGGGAGGACGTGCTCTTACCTTGGCATTCTGGGGGAGCAGCACTCCAGTGCCCAGTGGCCAAGCACCGCAGCTCGCCTTCTCCCACCAGGAGCCAGCCTTCTTCACAGGTGAAGCTGCAGACTGACTGGTATCTGAAGCTTCCGGAGGGGTGGGAGCAGTTCACCTGGGCCCTGCGGGGAGCTGGAAGGTCTTGGCATTGCACAGCTAAGGGGCGAGGAATAGAGACAGTAAGGCACAGGGAGCAGAAGCATCCAGGTACTCGTCGAGTCCAACCACAAGTTCCTGACCCCTTAGTGCCAAGAACGAGGATTCCTGAATTGGGCTATTTAACATGGAAGATGAAAAAAGTGCTATTTAGTTACAGTGCACCTGAGTGGTTTTGAGAATACTAAAACATTATCCAGCATTTTGGCAATATGTATCAATAGTGCTTGAACTATCATACTCTTGGACCAAGAATTGATGCCAAGTAGGAAATCAAGATGCATAATGAAAAATTAATTCAGAGACATTTTATCAAGATAGGATTTGCGAGAGCAAAATATTGAAAACAAGTATAAATGCCACTAATCTGGAGTTGAAAATAAATCATAGTGGATTTGTGAAAAGAATGTTAAAGGTCCCTAAAATCACATCTTTCCCTTTGGAAAGATATGGGAAATGTCTCACTGTGTGATGTGAAATAAAAATGCAGAATGAATGAAAAATTATCATCATGGTCAAATTATACCATGATCTTAACATATAAGATAGATGTTCAAATAGGGAGAGAACACAGGACTTCTATTGTTGTCTTTTTTTTTGCCTTTAAAATGTGAATGATAACTCTAACTACCTCTTGGAGCTAACCCAAATAGGTCTTAGGGACTGCTCCATAAATCTTGGCTGCCAGCAGCAGCAGAGTGTCAGTGGCAGTAATAGATGACTGTAGCGTCCTCCAGGCCATGCAGCAGAAGACCTCGACTGTCGACTATCGGGTGGGAACATTAGGATGCCTGCCAGGGGCTTGCTGAGACTGCCTCTGCAGGTGCCTGTTCTGGATGATTGGACACAGGTAATGCCTCGAAGCAGAAATGTCTCCTGTGATCCTTTATGATCCTTCTTAGGCACCAAGGCTCTGTGTGTCTGTCTCCAACCGTTCATCCGCAGCACCTCACAGCACCTCAAGTCTCACCAGCATGGTGCATGGCTGCCTATTCCTCCATTGCATTCCTTCCCTTTGACTTTCAATGCTTATTGCAGTAAATAATTCAACATAAAATCCATTCTTTGCCACTTAAACAGTATAGAGTTAAGTGACACGAGCACATTCACAATGTTGTGCAATTATCACACTGTCCATCTCTAGAACTCTTTCATCATCTCAAGCTGAAACTCTGCCCGCTGAACAGTTAACTCCTCGCCCTCTCTCCCCCATCGTTCTACTTTCTCTGATTTTGACTACCATAAGTAATTTATGGAAGTGGAATTATGCATTACTTGTTGCAGGGGGACTGGCTTATTTCATTTAGTGTAATATCCTTAAGTTCATTCACAAAGTAGAATTTGTCAGAATTTTCTACCTTTTCAAAGCTAAATAATATTCCACTGTCTGTGTATACCAACTTTGCTTCTCTTTCCATCTATCAGTGCTTAGTTGGCTTACTTCTGCATCATAACTATTGTAAATAATGTTGCTGTGAACATGGGTGTACACATCTCTTCAAGGCCCATTTGCAAACTTCTGTCTCATTTTGAAAATACAGTCTACATAAACTCAGGGGTTTCACTTAAATCTCAGCAAGTGGCAGTGAAATGCCAGTATTATATTTCTGGAACATGACTTTGTGTTGAGAGTCCTTCGTAAATAAACAACCCCAGTGACCTCTCTTTGTCTCAGTTTTCACGTAAGAGCAGAACACTGAAAACATGAAATATTAAAAGGGGACCATTTTGTCAAATTAGATCACAGACACATGATTTGTGAAGTAGTATCATTTTCTCAATATTTGTAAAGCTGATGCAGTTTTAAAGTTGCTTTTACACACATTAATTCACAACTACGAGTGAGACAGGAAGGTAAGGCAGATGGCAGTACCTCTGACCACCAGAGAGAGGGGAAGGTAAGGCGCATGGCAGTATCCACATTTTACAGAAGACTCAACAAGTCCCAAGCTTATTGACAGCAATGACAGAACTGGACTAAACGCTTTGTCCGTTGTTCCTCCACCAGTTCATGCTGTTCCTTTCCTCTAACCCTGATCTCCTCAGCCCACCCCTGTGTGTCAATCAAAGCAGCCCTCATCTTAACTGTGCTGTAATGAACAGCCATGTCAGGACTGGCTCTGCTGGCCATTTCAACCCTAGTGCTGACTACAGAGGCCCAAGCACATAGTAGGCTCTCAGTGAATGTCTGGTGGTGAGGGAATGACAGTGCCAAATGCGGATGCTGATGCCTTTAATGCCTGAGACGCACAGAAAGAATTTTTGATGTTGCAGTACCTTGACACACAGGGGCTGGTGCTGTCCACTGTCCCAAGTCAGCACACCGAACCACATCAGCTCCTCTCAGCAGGAAACCCTCCGCGCAATGGAAGCTACAGCTGGAGTTGTACTGAAAGGCTCTTGAGGATGGGGAGCACTCCATGCTCCCATGGTCAGGACTCTCCAGTGGCTCACATGCAAGGGCTAAAGGGAAAAAAAATTATCTGCAACTGGGTACCGGAAGGGCCCAGTCCTTTTTCAGAAGAGACTTGGAAGATGCTACATCTTTCCTACCTACATTGTCAAGATGATCAGAACCTCAAATCCTCCCCTCTCCAGAAGGGAAGTCGCCTTTCCCAGGCCCCCTCCCTGGCTCACTCTTACCTGCCTTCAGGTCTCAGCTTAGACTTCGGCCCCCTCCCTGCCTACCCTAACTCGGGGGAAGAGCTCCTCCAGCCTGCTCTCACAGCCCGTCCTTATGCTGTTCCTGCATCACACCACAGTCTCCTAGAGGCTGGGGTTGCAGTCAGGTGTATCCCAGAGCCTAGAACATGCTTGGTACATCAGAGGTGCTTGTTAAATATTTATTGGATCTGAAAAGAGCAGATACAGGAAAAGATTGGGTTTATAAGGAAAAAACAGAAATAGCACAGCTTATTATTGACACTATGATCTGCTGCAGTGCAATGGTCCCTAGTGGGCTTTGTCCCTGGAACTCAGGATTTCATCCTAATATACTTCAGTTGCCAAGTGTGTGCGTTCCAAAGTGAGTTCTTGAGTATGGTTAGGCCCAAGTGACCTCCATTCTTATGTTTCCTCATGCCCTTCCCTGGAGGAATGTCATCTCCATGCAGTTCCTGGGGTTTGGCAGAGCATAAAGACTATCCTTTTACCCCCCGCTTTGACCTCTGGTGTTTACAGAATCAGGGCATTTAAGGACCAAAGGTCCCCTAGGACTTCTCTCTTGCTTTACAGATGAGAAAAGTGTTGCTCAGAAACGATAAGTGATCTCCCTGACTTCTCGTGGCTAGCAGAACCAAAGCGGGGCTCTGCAGGTCTGGGAACACACTAACCAGCCTTCAGGATCCTACTCCCCACCACCCCTCTCCTCAGAAGCCGAGGGTGTGAGGCAATGGCTCAGAACGCAGTTTCATGGTGTTATGTAATTGCCTAGTATTGCATCATGGGCTCTCCTTTAAACACAGCCTTTGCTCCTTTGCCAAATGCTGCCTTCAAAGATGTGATGGGGAATTTCTCTTTGTCCCAATGGCCACTGCTCTAACTCTTTCTCACACTAAGGACCTTGTCCTGAAGTTTGTATATGCCAATGAGACAGGAAGGTGAAAAAAAGGGTCAGAAATGAAAGCTGACCTCATGCACAATCCTGTGCTAAATGCATTATATTTATTTCATGGTATAGTCTTTATTTACTTAGTCCTCCCAAAGTGCCTTGCTTTGGGGAAAGGGAAGACCTTTTAATTTTCACCATAGTAAATCAGCCTCTTATTTTTCTAGTCTGGCCCTAGAATTCTTAGCTCCATTTCACAGATGAGACATCTCTTGGCTCCTGGAGGTTGAACAACCTGCTTCTGAGTCAGAGCCTAGAGGGAGGTCACCCTGATGTTAAGAGCCCTGGGTCCTTCTATGGTGCCATGACGCCTTCTTGGGTGCACCGGGGGCTACTAAGGAAAACCTACCTTCACAGGTCGGTAAGGGCGCAGTCCACTGGCCAGGGCCAATGCAGCGGAGTGTGTCCAGGCCCCTTATTCGATAGCCAGGTTGGCACTCAAATGTACAGCGGGAGCCATAGGCAAAGGCAGCGAGTGGATGCACGCAGTCCATGGTTCCGTTGTCAGGGGCTTCCAGGTGCTGACACTGCACAGCTGGAGAGAACAACCAGGGATAAGAGAGCCCTGAAGGTGGAGAATGATGGCCACAGTTGGAGGGCAGTGGTGGGGCTGTCTCTGGACACAGAAGTGGAGCTAGGAGGATGGGAGGTCAGGAGACCTGTTGTCCAGACTCAGAGCTCCTGTCCTCAGCATGGCCTGAGTCTCTTAAAAACAAGCACTGCTCCAGGCTTTATACTTAGCATCCTCTATTCCTTATGTCTTTATAAATCTGTCCCAGTAGGTCTTCTGGTGCCACTCAGAGTATAGATACTATCCCTTAAGAATGTGGCCATTCTGAAGCTGTTGTAGGTTATGAGTTTGGGGGAAGGGAAGCCCTTTTAATTTTCACCATAGTAAAATCAGCCTCTTATTTTTCTAGTCTGACACTGTTTTCCAAAGCCAGATGTACCCAGTCTAGCTCAGCAGCAGCTCGAAGGACAGATACATTTTGGCAGTTCTGGCCGTCTTCTCCATAACGTGGCCAGTTTTTTCTACAGGTGCAATGAAGGCAAGGACCCTGGTAGTGACCCTTATACACCCTGTATGTCCTGAAGCTCCCTTACCCACTGGCCTTGGGTAGATGGTACTTTCAATAGCTATTTTGAAAGATCTCTTCTTTTTCACTTACAGAAACAAGTTAAAGTTATCAAATTAATAATGCTCAATTATTGTCCCTCAATCTTCATCATTTTACTTTGCTTACATCATAACCAAATGGAAAGGAGTCCCTTTGTAATGTTTTTGCTGAGAATCAAGAATTGCCCACATCACTCTACAGGCACAAGACACCATGAAAATCAAAGTCACTGTTACTCTGTTTGACAAATAACAATGATGACTAGAGTTTTCCATCTAATGTAGATCTTCATTATTTCTCACCAATTCAGGGATGGAGAAAGCTCATGCCCCCATCCCTGAATTTGACAGTGAGGATGGAAAGGAAGACATCTACATACCTACACACTGTGGGGGCTTCTGTGTCCAGATTCCAGAAGCCAAACACTTCAGCTGGCTGGGTCCATTCAGTTCGTACCCTTCAGCACAGTGGAGCGTGCACTGTGAGTTGAAAGAGAAGTTTCCCAGAGGGTGGCTGCAGTTCATGAACACGTGTTGAGGGAGGCCGAATTCTCCACACTCTCTAACTGCGGGGACAGACATGGTGTTTTCATTGTACACTTACAGACATTGTTGGGCCTGTTGCAAGCCGTAGTGACTGGTGTGGCCTGCTCCACTGTCTTTCTGGGCTTCCCACACAGGCTTCCCATCTCTCTTTGGCTTCTTTTTTATCACCCGCATCTTGGGAAATGATCATTCTTTCACTGGTTCTCATTTCAATCAAGTAAAGCCGGCCTGGAAGGGCTCTCTTTGTCTTGCTTCCTGATCATTTTCCTTTTCCTCTTTGAAATTTTATGAATGAATGTTCTATGAATAAGGTGACTTTACTGAGACTGCCTAGAGCCAATTGAGTGAAATAGACAGACAATGGGAAGGCCTAGGACCAGTCTCTATTTGCTGGAGAGTCTTCAGGGTGGTTTACTTCGTGGCACTGTCCTTTGCCTAAGAACAATGGCTAAAATAATATCAACAATGTGGCAGCCTCACCATATTCACACTCTGGCCCATGGAACCCAGGGTGGCAGGAGCAGGTGTAGTTCCCGATAGTCTCGATGCAGTCTCCCTGTTTGCTGCAGGACATGTCGTGGCAGGAGGCTGCATGGATACAGAAAGGTCAGAATCACCAGCACTCACAGGAGATGAGGCCAGCTTGGCCTCTCTCAGGCAGGACTGAGCTAGGCAGGCAACAGAGGTCCAGCATCAGCTAGAGAGCCAGCCTGCTCCCTGTGAGAGCACCCTATTCACCGTCCATTTCATGCTGCATCATACCCACCTATGGAGGGTACTGCTGCATGTGGACACAGGGGACAAGCGAGCCTGACATGTGTGCACAGAGGAACTCCTCGACCTGCTACAAAATGGGCTGTGGTTTCTAACCAAGGGCATTCATGCCTCGGGCCAGATGTTGCTGCATGGAGGACAGGAGCCACGTGGGAGGCAGGGCCACACCCACCTGCGTCCCGGCTCTTGCTACCTCCTCACCGTGTGACCAGAGAGGCTCGTTACTTCTTTGGGCCCAGTTTGCCCAGTGTGATGGCCTGATCCCTTCAACCTTTGTATTCTTCTAATCTATGTCCAACACCATGGGTAGAGGAGCAGAGAAGCCACATGTGATGTTTAACACTGGTCATGGCTAAGGGAAACCATCTTGAGAGAGGGCGTTTCACGAGTGCACACATGGCTGCCCTCTCAGGCCCTCTTCACTACGTCTGTGCCCTCAGGTAACAGAGTAGAGAGGGGCCACGGCTTCTTTCCTACAAAAAACTCTTTACGTGTCTATGTGTGTGGTAGAGGGTTCATGTTAGAACTGATACCGCAAAGGCACTGAGAATGTTCTTACTGGTGTTGTTTCTACTGGTGCTGTTTCTTTTTTTTTTTTTAAACGGGGTCATAGCTGGGATAAGGTCTGTGGCTGGACTGTTTTCTGGTGTTCATTTCCTTTGCACTGAGCCCTAGCTACATGTTGACACTCCTTGTGGTAGATTTCTGGAGGAAATCTGTTTATCATGTAGAGGGTTATGTTAGATCATCTCTATGTCCCCTCTCAACTCTGAGAGGCTATGATTCTGTAAATCATGCAAGATTCTATAGGAGGAAATTCCCCCAGCAGCCAGTGAGTTTGGTGAGGGTGCACTGAGGCCTGGGAAGGGTTCCAAGTAGAGAGAAGATGCAGGAGCAGCCGCAGCTGGTAGGTAGAGTTTCTGTCCACATCCTGCATCCTGTACACCTGACCTTGACCCCAACAGAGCCTTACAGTAGCAATGCCTCTATCCTTGATCTCAGAACATCCAGGGTTTGCTTCCTAGAGAGTAGATCTCAGTGCTATAAAAAAAGTCTAAAAAATCTTGGTATTTAAAGATTTATTTCAATAATCCTAAGTTCTTGTTGTAGTACACGACTGTTTCTCATCTGTCTTCCACAGAGAACAGAAGGCTCCTATACCCTCTACCTCTTTGATGACAAAACACCCATCAATGGCAGCATCCACCAAGGGCACTTTGCTGGTGGAATAGACCTCACTTAGAAAAGAACTTAGATAAGTGATATTGTACCAGTGAGTGATATTGACCATTTTTGTAGTTAGAGGAATGACATCATGCCAATAATTTTCAATCTCTTTTCTGTCTTATAATTTTTTGCAAGCTTTGCTGGGAAAATAGATGTTGAGGGTTGAAGAGAAGGGGAAGCAGTGGCATATTGAAACAGCAGTGGTAGCCACAACCAGCCAATAAGGGACAGTTCTAGGGCAGCATGGCCCAGGAGGACGAGAGCTGACCCAGAGAGCAGTAGGATGAGCACATATCCTGGTAACGTCCATCCTGGTCCATACATAAATGGCTGTTAACTAGCTAATTAATATATAAATGGATAATTTATAAAATGAGATTTAACTGCATGATAATGAATTGACGAATGCTTTTCCTCACCTAGAATGCTTGGATGAGAAGAGAGAAAATGTAGAAGAAATACTCTATGCTGTTTATTCCATTCTGTACTGTGTTTTGTTGAGGGGTCCTGGGGGGTAGCTTAAAATCTGAAGAACTTAGAAAATATATAGTGGGGTATGGCATCTGTTGGGTGATTATCAAAGGAGCTTCAGAGCACCTGGCTGCTCTTGCTCAGAGAAGAGCACTGCTGGGCTGTGACAGACAAGAGGGGCTCCCCTAAACAGGAAGCCATAGCACAGGGGTGGAATCAGCTCTGGCACTGGGCACGTGACTTTCAGGCATGTCTGCTTACTCTGGGACCAGGAGAGTCAAGGATCCAATAGACTCACACAATCTCACCTTCAGTTCCTGCTTCCTTGTCCTGGCCCCCCACCTTTCCACCAAAGTCCAGCAGACCTGAAGATATATTGTGTTGAAGAGAATCTATAAAGCATTTGTGATCCTCAGTCATGCTCCCAAATTGTCTCATGAAAATGCAGACCAAAGAATGTAGAGGCATCTAACTAACACCAACTTTCAAGTCAATGTGTGCTTGACGCTGGCCTCAACATCCACTGGGGTGGAACCTTGGTAGACCATTATCACTGAGCCTTCCCCTCATCAGCAAGATCAGAGCCATAGCGGGGCCTGACCAATGAGGCTGTCCTGAGGATGAAATGCAGCTAATGTTCATGAACAAGTGACACCTGAGCAAAATAACTAATAACACCAGCCGTTCAATAGATGTTGGTTATAGCCGTGCCTTTCAGGGACCATCTAACCCCTCTCTGCCCTCCCTCACACTATCGCATATGGCAAAGGAGATGTATGGTTGTGGCTACCACTGGATGTTTCAATATGCCACTATTTCCCCTTCTCTTCAACCCTCAACATCTATTTTCCCAGCAAAGCTTGCAAAAAAAAATCATAAGAAGAAAAGAGATTGAAAATTATTGGCACTCCTCTAAAATGTATGAGACTGGTTTCCAATCCTACCTTTGATTCTGTGATATTCCATTATCTTAAGAAACTCAAGTCCCCTGAGCATCCACTTCATCAGTCATAGAAAGACAAGGGCGAGCTCGATATGGAATTCTCTTTGGTTCCTAACAGCCAGTTTTCTCCACCCCTGAGCCTGTGTTCTCTGAGATGCTCAATAAAGCACTTTGCCAGTTCACTCCTCGTTTTCATGTCCCTGACTTTGTGACTCCATGCTATTGACTCAGTGGTCATGTGGACCAGCCGGGAAAGCACTTTACTTTATCAGACAAGCTCAGACTGATGCAGGCCTTACCTGTGTAGCACAGGGCCCGCTTTCTTTTCCCGCAGGGCTCATCATTCCATTTGCCAGGGGCCGACAGACTCTTGATATATATCTCCACGCAGTCCTGGTTGTTCCTCTTGTTGTTGGGCTCGTTGTCAGCCCAGTTCTCGGCCTCCTCCGTGAGAGCCTTCTTGGTTCCCACCCAGGTCCACTTATTATTGATCTTTCTGATCCCAATCCAGTAGTAAGAGCTGTAGTAGGGTATGACTTCATTGAGATGAGCAATTTCATTTTTATTCTGGATGGCCACTAAATCTGTGAAGTGTTTCTGGCAGAATGCCCGGGAGTAATTCCACGGGTATGCTTTTATACTGTAATTATAGGTCCACGCTGTCACTTCCTTCTGGTTTGTTAGCTCTGTAATGAAGAAGAATGAGGACCAGGTTAGCATCCCTAACCAGAGCAGGCTGTGGTCTGAGGTACACTGTGCGTAGTCAGATGAATTCCTGTCCAGAGGATGAATGCCAAACAGGACTATTTTATGTCTAATGTAGTTATTTTAGGGGAAAAGAGTGATTTCCATATTTTATTTAAAAGTAGACATAGAATCAGATTAGGAAAATGTCCTCTTCTGAAGATTCTTAATGTTAAAGACCTGAAATCAGAAGATGCTAGAGTTGGAAGGGAATTTAAAGTTCAACTAATTTACTCCTTTCCTTTTAAAAATGAAAGAGACATATTAGGTAATTTGTCCAAGCCCAAATTAAATGATATGTACAGTATGATCCTCCCTCTCTTTACATGGGAAATAAGGTGCTCAGTGGTCTGGGACGCCCAGCCTCATTGCCTGTTACAATTACTTTCTTAGCCTTTTCACAGGGTCTTCCTGCTATCCTGGCTATCCTGAACTCTTATGCCCGGCAAACTGTATCCCCACCTTTCCTTGACTTCCATGGGTGGGCTCTGGGTTTCTTCCTCCAGGCTCCCACTACCTTCCTTCTCTGTGTGGCTCTGCTATGCTATGGTCCCTATGTGCTAGACAGAGAATCCCTAATGGTGGTCTTTTTTTTTTTTTCCTAATTTGTTTTTAGCTCTGGGTCCTGAGCACCAAGAAAGAATAGGCTTTTGATAAATTTACCTATTGAACAAGTGACACACACAATAGGTTGATCCAGAGCCAAGTTTAGAAAGAAGGTCTCCTGATTTGTAACCTCATGCTCATTCCACTCCGCTTGGCCGTTACTGTTGTATAAATCACTCTGCTTCCTCCACGTCTGCTTAATCCCTTCTTAGGACAGGCCCTTCTTTGTGACTGCTTGTGATATCAAGTGCGGTAAGACTGTGCCCTTCAGCAACAGGCAGGTGCTGTGATGCAAAGCATTGTTATTGTAGCTTGCAGGAGCTCAGGGGGCAGAAGGGGCCAGTTCCCTTGTGAAGAGGTGTACAATGCAAGCAATCAGCACTGGAAATGGCTCCATTTCCTGTTTATAAGGCCTTGTTTCTCCGCTGCCTATGAGAAGGCGGGCACACTTTTCCCTCCCTCACGGACACTGCTGTGGCATTATGAAGATTCGATTCTGACAGAGTCAGGACTGCATCATGGCTTCAATGGACTCTAGGCAATATAGAGATGTATATAGTAATATTATGTACTAAAGCATTTCTTTTGACTATAAAGAAAATTATTTTTTAAAAACTTCAAACATTTTGGGGAGTCACTAGAAGTATTGTGGGCCTGTGTATAGAGTGTTGTGAATGTATCCATTTATGTTGTTTCTGGTGCCTTTCCCACCAGAGGTGTGATGATACTGGGTGCATTTTTCCTCCAGGAACTTGGGCTTGGGCAGTGTTCCATGACTGCAGTTTTTAACATCTCCCATTTAGCTCTGGGCTCTACCCTATTACTCAGGGCCAGGTGAAGAGTCAACCTCACCAGAGATCAAAGCACCGAACCAGAGGAGTTGGGCAGCTCCAAAGACCACTCTCTGAGATCTCAGGATCCAGATGGCTTTTAGGCAGCTGGCCTGAAACAAGAAAAGACAACTTTCTTTTAGTATCTGTATACAACATATGTGGCAAAAAAATTTAGTTAGTAATCATGATGTTGAGATAGTCCTGTTGCCTTTGGGAGGGTGGTCCCAGTCCTCTGCCCCCTTCTTGTTTCTCACTGCTCTGCAACTCTAGATGAGCACTGTAAAAGACTGAAGGAGAGCTCATTTCTTTGTTCATTCAAGAAGTAACAGCTTCATGCTGTCAGTATTTTTTAAGATACATTTTTAATATGCATGTGAGGAAAAGATACTTAAATGTGAATATGGCTGTCATTATTCTTATGCAATAATTTTCCTTTCAGAACTGGTATGCCATTCCAAAGAATAATAGGAAGTCATGCAAGAACTTTTTGATCCTTACATAGAATGACTAGCCTATATTTTGATCCACAGAGCAACATATTGTGCTGTTATATGATCTATTTTGTATTATTGACCCATATTTTTATCTCCTTAGTTTACTATTTCAGCATATATCTATAATACTATTTGATGATTAGTATACATATGTGTATATCTGTTTAATATTTAATAATATATATAATAAGTCTACTCCTCTTGGATCTATAACAACTATTATTTTTCATGGGCTTCCTTCTGTTAAGATTTTATTTAATCTATTAACATTTAAAAAGTGCTTTTAGACAAATGAGTTCTGGAAATGCTCATATTCTCCAGCTTCCTCATATTGTACTTGGAAGTTCCATAAGCTTGGAGCATCTAAGTAACACACTCAAAATGACAGCAGCAGACGCTGACTTTGGAACAAGAGCTCTGTCCGCTCCACTCTTTACCTTCATAAACCTCCAGGCTTCCAAATCTGTGTGGCACTGCTGTTATGGGTAGAAGAGTGTGTGAGGTAACCAAGCTGAGAGGGGTACCAGTGTTCCTCCAGAACCCCTATCACCACCACCACCAGAAGAACAATGCATTTGCTGTACAATTGCAGCTCTGCCACTCTTCCATTCAAATTGTCACCTAAAACTCCTCCTGTATAAAAATTCTGAATTACCACAGCCCATGCTGCAGTGACGCTGATGCAGGTGTAGGGGACAGTGTAGGCAGAAAGTGGGGAGATTTATAGCCTGGCCAGGTACCAGGAGGGATACAACTCACACAGGGCACAGTGGGTTTGTCGTGTATAAAAAGCCTAGCACTCTCCATCTAGGGGTTTCTAGATATTGGCTTTGATAAGTATTTATCAAAGTATTTCATGTTCTTATAAATCAGAACACTAATTAGCTGACTTGTGCAGGACCCATGATCAAATGCTGAGAAATATCATGTTTACTTGCACAGAAAGTATGGTGAATCCCTTCGTGGCGGTTTAAATCCACTGAGTGTTCTCTAGATTGTGTTGTATCACCAGCTACTATAATTCTATTTAATAGTACTATAATTCTATTCAAAACCCCCAGATACTATTCCAGATGCCATAGCAGAAGAAGTCTTCACAGGGCTGCACACGCAAGGGGAGTGTCAGTCTGTATTCAGATTTTTTACTTCTACACATATCCTTTCCTGAAACCAGTGTGCCTAAAAGCACTCCCTCCTTCCCAAGGAAAATCTAACTCCTATGTACTGTGAGGCCTTGCTCCTAGGTGTAAAAGAGTCAAGGGTGCTAAAGAGTTAAGACTCTGTCCTGTTACTAAGCAAGTTGTGTTGAAACCAAAGGAAATGCCTCTCAAGGAGAAGCAGCCACATGCTCTGCTAATCTTTAATGCTCTCTGGCAGCCTGGTTCAGACTGGAAGTTGCTGAAAAGAAATCTGAGAGTGGGTCATTAGAATAACATCCTGTGCCTTTGTAAACCTTCATTAAGCACCTTGGTTATCTTTAATGTTGCTTTTTGAAATAACTAGAAGTGATTGCAAGGTGAAGAGGGGGCAAAGCAAATGTTTTTTCCCTCTGCCTCCCCTTTCCTAGGAAAGGGGAACCAGAGGCCAGTAGGCACCCATGGTTTTCCACGTGGCCCACAAAGCTGGCAAGCATGGCTCTACTTGTCCACGCTGCAGACCGCAGCTTTGCGCATGTAGAGAAAGAGTTAATGTCCCTCCCTTGACCTTCTGGCCATCTGCCCAGATTTGTCTTGCCTTCTCTCCTTGCTTTACAGTGGAGCATCTTGACCTCCTTGCTTCCCCTTTTGCTCTCTAGCCACTGCCCCTCCCGCCTACCAAACTACTCTTTTGAATGCCATCACTAGCATTCTAATTACCAAACCAAATGAAGACTATCTACCCTTACCTTCCATGACCTTTCTGTAGCAATATATGCTATTGAATACTTCCTTTTGCTTAAAGCACTGCCCTTGGCTCTTCTCTGGATACTTATCTAATGTCTTGAGCAATTTTTTTTGAGTCTTCTCTGAATTTACCCCAACTCTGCCTTCATTTGCAGAGGTAATGTTTCCTTGAGTTCCTGCCTTCATGGCACTATTTCTCTTCTGTTCTTCTCTTTTCCTTACGCCTCCTATGGTCTTGTTTGTCAAAGGACCCCAATCAGCATCTCCATTTCTGACCCATCTCCTGAATATGAGATCCAGAACTAAAATGCAAAGCCAACATGTGAGCATAGCCCTGGAGGGAGCAGCTGGCAGGAGCTTCTCAGGAGCAAGGACTAGGATTAGGTCTGAATCCCCTAGCCCTGGTGGAGCGAATGGTTAATAAGTATTAATGGATGAATGAATAAAGAAAAGAATATTGGCAAGGGAATGGCTGAAGATGGAAATGTGCTAAATTGGAAAACATTGGGACTGACACCTTGTCTCATTCTGTTTGAAGGTGAGGGTGAGAGAAACAAGGACATGATGGCTGACTCTCAGACATCCCATGTGAGAGTTCACGAGCAGGACTTAGCTCCATGTAGGTAGGAAGTGGGGATAAGTGGATAAGGGAGGGCTGCTTACAAGTGGTGTGTCTCAGGAAGTCTGGTGGACATTCAAGTGAAACAAGTCTTAAAAGTGGAGGTGGAGAGAGTAAAATCAGCCTAACCCTCTGGACTGATTGTGAGGCTCCAGCACCACATGAGGCTCATAAAGGATGTACACTCTCACTGACAGCATCACTGACCAGCTGCCCCCATCTCCTGCCACAGAAACCCCAAATGCTCCATCAAGTGGGAGCAGAGAGGGAGGACGAAGAGACTCTGCCTGTCTGAAACCTTCACATCAATCTGTCATCAGATGCTCATGACTTCATTTCTGGTGAGAGACCTGGCCATTCTCTGAACTTCCACTTGATGACAAGCGTGCTAAGATAGATGTCAATATTTCTTCCCTGGACCAGGTCAGTCTTCTTCTAATTGGCTTCTGTTTCCTCTAGATGAGCTATCTCCATGTTTTTCTCCAAAATGCAATCAGAATGTTATTTCTATACAAAAACATGAGTGTATTGTTTCATATTTAAAATTCTTCAATTGTTCCTGGTCCCTAAGCAAGACTTGCAAACCCTTTAAGATGACACATGCAAGACCTATTGATGCTTGCCTCTTCCTATTTCTCTATTCTCATTTCCTACCATTACTCCTCAATCACTCCCTGCCTTCTTACAATCCTACAATTTATTTATAATAAAACATTTTGTAATTTTACAGAATGCACCGCCTATCAAATTGCTCTTTTGTCCAGACCACCATCTTCATCTGCATCTGCCCAGCTCCCTAAGTCTACATCTCCACCTCTAAGGAGCTTAGTTAGCCCAACAACCCCTTTCTCCATACCAAAGAGGTGACCCTTATTACTGACTGTACTTTTTCCCATTATTTATTTCAACAACTATTGATTAAAGTGCCTAAAATATATTAGACACTTTTCTAGGGATCAGGGCTAAAATGACGAAAACAGACGTAATTCCTATCCTCATACTCTCAATGTACATTCTATTCAGGGAGATAGACAATGAAACAAACCCCAAGAAATACACAATAGTACTAAACAACAATCATGAAAAATGTAGGACAATAAGTGAAAAATGTAAGCAATAAGTGGTAGGCAGAGAATTTAAATGGGGCTATGTGATAGAGTGAGTGGGGGGATTACATAAGACAACAAGACCAAGGCAGGCCTCCTCTGAGAAGTGATGGTTATTCTGATAGCAGAATGACCAGGGCAGGGTGGGTGGGTGGGGACCCTACCAAGTGAGAAGCAGGAAGAAGAGCATTAAGGCGAATGAAAGAGGAGATTCAAAGGCCATAGTAACATGGGACCATAGTAACATAGTGAAGTGTTCAGAGAAAGTAGAGACATTAGTGTTGCTGGAGTGGAGTGAGCAGTGGGGGAAGAACACACAAGAAGGTAGTTGATGGGTCACTCCAGACTTTGGAAGCCAAACAAGGGGATGAGATCTTATTCTAAGTGCAATAAGAATACAGGGAGGACTATAAGATTAGCAGTGTGGTCTGATTGATGTTGAAAATGATCATTTCTTAGATGTTAATTGAAAAGGTAGTTTAGGGCTAGATCTTGTGGGTCTCAAATACCAGTAGCATCAGGAGTCTAATTGTAGGGTTCTAAACTGAGAAGTGTCATGAACAGATGAATCGAACAGTGGTATTTTTAATAAATTAGAAGCAGGAAGGCTGAGCTACAAAAAAGGAGGCTATTACAATGGTCCTAGTAGAAGTTAGAGGGCCTGACTTGGGCTGTGTCCCTGGAAATGCATAGAGGGAGGAGGATATGAGAGTCACTGATATGCAGATCTATATAATCTGTTGGAAGCAAAGCTTTAATATCTGGTTGTTGGTGGTAGTGATGGTATGGAACAGATACTAGTGGCCCCAGCTTACCTGTAGAAAATGAAATACACTGAGAAAATAGATTGTCTCTAAGCCAAATAGTAAATTATAATTAAGACAGCAGGGTCCCAGGACATCAACACTTTGAATCAAACAAAGAACATAGTTAATTTAGACTACTCACTGCTATTATGGAGGGTAAAATGTTAGTTCTGGTATATAGAACAGCACTAAAAACCATAAAATAACGTACATAAGTTTAAAATTAAAATATACTTTGGACCATAGCTGGGCTATACCCCAACAAATTCGAAGGGTTTGCTCTGCATTTGATTTTGCTAACTTTCTGCTTTGGTTTTCCATCAGAGGGGTCAAACACCAAGAAAACAATGTAACGAATGTCATTTATGAAACCAAGATTTCATAGGTAGGTTGGATCTTTTCTCTGTAGCACCTTTATGTAGTAAAGTCACTTTGATTTTTGAAGATTTCACTAATAAACTTCCACATAATACAGAACTCTGAAGATGCACATTCTAAGTCCAAGAGAAGGTGAAACAGGTCATTATATTGTGACAAATGATCATGGAAAGAAAAGTAAGAACTGGAAGCCACAGACCTAAGGTGATTAACAGGTATGGAGGAAAGGGAATTCAGACCTGCTCCTTAGCTCACTAAAGCCTTGACCAACATCGATAACTGAACTGTAAATCCCAACCAAGAGCTTCTTTAGATCTCTCTGATTGAAATCACCCCACCAGATAAACCTTCACTTCATTTTCTCAGGTCCTAGGAGTTAATCAAATCCATGCTCAACATGATGCAGATCTTACATAGGCATTTTGAGGTTCCTGAATCCTAAGAACCAAACAGGCTTGTGGGGGAAAGGAAGAGGGCTTTGCTGAAATAGTAAAGCAAGTCTAGGGCTGTTTTCCTCAGCTCTTCATTTCGGAGTTCCAGCCTCACTGCAGGATGCTAGTGGAGAAGCTTCTGAGCTTTAGCATAGGAGGCAACGTGGTGGGGTTCTTCTGGCATCCACACATAGGTTTGGGAACCTCCTGTGGTTGTCTATAGAGGTTGGGTTTTTTATGTGATGTTTGTATTTTCATCTGGGAAGAACTGTAGCTTCCATCAGAATCCTAAAAGTAATACCCGATCCAATATGTTTACATCTTTGAAATAAAGGAGAGCACCAAAGGTAATAGAAGGGAGAGAGGAACAGCTGCTCTTTCAAGCTGTCCAATTCAGATATAGGACATGCAAAAGATAAGACAAAAGTAGTCCACACTCTTATGTCATTGTGGTTCTGACTTAGGGCAGGCTCCAGCTCCTTCCTTTTTGAGAATCTTCATCATCCTCTTTTCCCTGATTTCCTCAATGTGGAAAACCCTCATTAGGAGCATTGAAAAGTGTGTTATAGTAAAGAAGGGAAGTGGGACGGACCAGATGTAAGCACTACTTTCTTCTTTGGTCCCATAGAAAGTGTCCAAAGCATAGACCAGTCTGGCTTCTCCCTAGCCACAGACTGGAGGATTTTGGATTCTGGGACTATGTGGGATACCCCAAATAAATTGGGGGTAAAATTGGATCTACCCTAAACATGTTTTTATATCTAGAATAATATTTCTGACTTCAAAAATGCCTGCTAATCTTGGATCTTCCCCAGATCCCAAACTCCACTCTACATCAAAAAATTTATTTCAATAATAGCTATAATTTTCTAATCACCTATATGCCAGGCTCAGAGCTAAGTGCTATTAATTATGATATTATTTAATCCTCATAGTGACACTACAGAATACTATTATTATATCCACTTTATAGATATAGCAGGATAGATTCTTGGGGTAGAAATTGAAACCGATTTCAGAGCAGTCCCAGAAAACTCCTAGTGCTCAGAGAAAGAAATGCAAGGGCTCAGGATTAGGAACCATCCAGTTTAGGCTTTCCCCAGGGCATTGCTCAGCCTTCCATTTATCCCAGAGAGAGGAGTGATTCTGGAAAAGGAGATGGCAGGTTCACCAAGATCTACTCCCAGAGGGTCCCTCTGAGTTCTGGTGTACAGAACAGCACTAAAAACCAGGGGTCGGACTGAGATCCCGACATCAAGACTAACAGTGCAGCCCTAGGTAAAATACTCAGCCTTTGTAAACCGCAGTGCTTCTATTTGTAAAATGGAAATAACCTCAACTCTTAAGGATGTTGCTTTTCCTCACTTCTGAACCTTTGCATCCCATATTAAGCCCCAAACAACTTCAAATCATCGACTTCCCACACAAAAGAAAAGTGAACTTACCATCTCCTCTGCGGCTCTGCTGGCTTTCTGCCTCCTGTCCAGCCCACACTTCTTATAGTCTTGCTGCCTTCCCTCAGTGTCAGACTGCTTAGAAATACAACTTCCTATTCGCTTTCCAGAAATTTACCATAGACTTTCTCATGAAGTCAGAACGATGATAATGCAGGAGCAGTGCGGCAGCTTGGAAATTAGCAGTCGCCAAAGTGGCAGGGGTCACCCCTTCCATGGAGATGTCTGGAGGCAGGGGCAAGTGTGACTCACTCCTGGACATCCCAGGCTGAGCAACGCAGGAACAGACCTGCATCCCCAGAGCAGGTTTCCTTTGATTACAATGTGAGTCCCAACGAAAGGTCATGCATTTGGGAGACTTCTGTATTAATCATAAAGTCCTAGTGTCAATTCCAGTTATTGTGAAATGCCAGTGAGTGTTTATAATTGCAGTAGACTTCTGAGGGATCCAAGCAAAAATAGAAGCAAAAAAAAAAAAATTAGATAGGAAAGGAAAAATCCACTGAGGGATTTTTGGTGCTTGGAGAAGATTGTTGAGAACAGTTTTTAAATGACATAAAATAGACATGGATTTAAAAGGAACTCTGCTTCTTTCACCAGGAACTCTGTTTCTTTTATGGGAGGGGGAAGGTATAAAAGAGGAATGGTTATTAAAATTAAATAATGTGTGCCTGAACAACTCTTCTCATGGAGTGTGTCGGACCAAATGGCTGCTGGAACAACCAGGAATTTGCTTGAGACCCATCCTGTCTCCACCTTTGACTGTTAGGCAAATTTAACTCTCTACACCTTTGTTTTTCCCAAATATAAATCAGAATGATGACAACAGAACTTACCTCAAAAGGTTGTGATAGGATTAAATAATAATTTCATTTTATTTAATCCTATAACATGTTATTGCATGGAGAGGGGTTGGAATAATGTCAAGTACACAGTTGGCACTCAAGAACTGTTGGTTATTTTTTTTATTATTGGTTGTTCAAAACATTACAAAGCTCTTGACATATCATATTTCATACAATAAATGTTGGTTATTATTACTACTTTTCAGATTGCTCTCAGACAGCAAAATCAATTATCAAGTATTTGGTAGCAAGTCAAAAAACTACAACTTCAATGTATCCTCTTGGAGTTCTAGTTGTCAGTTATAAGTGATATTCTTTATTCATTCCACAATTGTCTCAGCGTGCAAATAGGTATCTCTTATAGATTTAAAAGTGGAATAAAGTGGAAAAATCTGGAAGAAAGTCAGAAGGTAAAGATTAATTAAGGACTATGAGGCAGAATTTTCACTACATATTTTGGGACTGGGAAAAAAGGATTAATTACATTGTCAAAGTAGAAAGGCTGACAAAGGAAATGGTCATGAAGAATGACTTTAGAGGAGTAAAGGAAGTTGAGGGAGAGGAGAGAAGGGGACCTCCAAGGCAGCACGAGGCAGGGATTGGGA